AAGTACTATACTAACAAACTTACAGCCCAGCAGGAATGGTGAACAAGTGGATTTAGATTGAAATTTCTGTGTGGACTTTGACTTTTATCGCATGGCGTAGTGCAAATATAAGTCCATGGCTTTAAAGGCGCTGGCGCACGGTATGTGAATCTTGTCCGCATGTTAAACAATGTGAAAAAGTGGGTTTAGGAAAGGGGTCGAAAACCGCATCTGGGGTTCAAGATTGGCACTTTAAAGTTAGGACTGTATACTGTGTATAGTCAATAACCCACAGCACCTAGTACCAAATTTTGGTCAGGATCTGACAGAACGTGATTTTGGAGCAAAAGTGTCCCGAACTACCTTGCAGCAATGTAGACTTCGTAAAATCTGGCTTGGTCAATGAAACACAGCATTCCACTGGCTAAACTTGGATATAAGTTGTGAGGTACTAATGCAGATACAGTGAATAGTGGTCAAACCAAGCGAAATTTAATGCTAGATCAAAGTATTGTAGTTTATGGGAGATGAAGCACGGCACCGAAAGACGAACCAGACCTACTCAGGAGAAGAGCAACTGCTGTGATCTTCCTCACTGCAATGGAGTCCATCATTGTCTTCTATTCCATCTTGAGTACTCTCCCTTTCAGAGTCCTCTCTGACTGTGGTTGGAGCCACCTCAACAGGAGTCTGCAAGTCATATACAGCTTGCAGTAGGTCGGTAACCCCCTTAAAAATCGAACTGCTAGCTTCACTGCCGGCCTTGAGCTGAAGAAGCTCTCCTGTCTTCAACAGTGCGCTGGTAGAGGCAGATATTTGGACAGCCGCTGATGTTATCTCACCAGCCAAACTCTGAAGCCTCGTTTGTTGAGACTTCGAGCAACCAGTCTCCATGTTGATGCCATGATGCTCACAACATGCCTTGAGACAGCAACGCAAACATTCGACGAACGGTATCTCCCTTTTCGTTGGCGCTTCTCGGATCCACCCTCAGATTTTTGTACGGCCGGATGCCTTACGGCCACCACTTCGGTGCAGCTTCCGGCACTCCCCATCGTAGCTGGTGTCGACCAAGAGATATCCGTACATAGTTGGGCAGCCAGCTCTTGAGCATTCTCTCGCTCATGTCCTCCAGTTTTTTGGGGCAGCGGTTCAAAGACTGGAAACTTTAACAGTCCTGCAACATCCCCAGGGTGTATCGAAGTATGAAGTGCCATTAGGCTGGGGCCAAGGGATCCTGCCGTTAGCACTTTGCCATTCATCCTTGCCATTGCGCTGCTGTGGTGGCCTAGGTGGCTCAATGCATCAACTTTACGAACGGCTGCTTTCCAGAGTTGCTTTACCTTGGCTGCCGTAGCCCTTTTTGAAAGGATGGCCATTTCCTTCGCGATGGTGACGATTTCCGAGGTAAACTGGAGCAGTACTTCGTGGGAGGAGTGTAGCGAGGGTGAGAAACCGTCGCAACGACTTGGTCATGTTTTTTATATTTTTATAATAGTCGCAACCACTACTTCGTTTATAATAGTAGATCAAAGTATTCTAGTTTATGCGAGATGAAGCGCGGCACCGAAAGACGAAACAGACGTATTCAGGAGAAGAGCAACTGCTGTGATCTTCCTCACTGGAATGGAGTCCATCATTTTCTTCTATTCCACCTTGAGTACTCTCCCTTTCAGAGTCCTCTCCCACTGTGGTTGGAGCCACCTCGACAGAGTCTGCAAGTCAAATGCAACTTGCAGTAGGTCGGCGACCCCCTTAAAAATCGAACTGCTGGCTTCACTGCCGGCCTTGAGCTGAAGAAACTCTCCTGACTTCAATAGTGCGCTGGTGGAGGCAAATATCTGGACAGCCGCTGACGTTATCTCACCAGCCAAACTCTGAAGCCTCGTTTGTTGAGACTTCGAGCAACCAGTCTCCATGTTGATGCCATGATGCTCACAACATGCCTTGAGACAGCGACGCAAACATTCGACGAACGGTATTTCCCTTTTCGTTGGCGCTTCTCGGATCCACCCTCCGATTTTTTGTACGGCCGGATGCCTTACGGCCACCACTTCGGTGCAGCTTCCGGCACTCCCCATCGTAGCTGGTGTCGACCAAGAGATATCCGTACATAGTTGGGCAGCCAGCTCTTGAGCATTCTCTCGCTTATGTCCTCCAGTTTTTGGGGCAGCGGTTCAAAGACTGGAAACTTTAACAGTCCTGCAACATCCTCAGGGTGTATCGAAGTATGAAGTGCCATTAGGCTGGGGCCAAGGGATCCTGCCGTTAGCACTTTGCCATTCATCCTTGCCATTGCGTTGCTGTGGTGGCCTAGCTGGCTCAATGCATCAACTTTACGAACGGCTGCTTTCCAGAGTCGCTTTACCTTGGCTGCCGTAGCCCTTTTTGAAAGGATGCCCATTTCCTTCGCGATGGTGACGATTTCCGAGGTAAACTGGAGCAGTACTTCGTGGGAGGAGTGTAGCGAGGGTGAGAAACCGTCGCAACGACTTGGTCATGTTTTTTTATATTTTTATAATAGTAGATCAAAGTATTCTAGTTTATGCGAGATGAAGCGCGGCACCGAAAGACGAAACAGACGTATCCAGGAGAAGAGCAACTGCTGTGATCTTCCTCACTGGAATGGAGTCCATCATTTTCTTCTATTCCACCTTGAGTACTCTCCCTTTCAGAGTCCTCTCCCACTGTGGTTGGAGCCACCTCGACAGAGTCTGCAAGTCAAATGCAACTTGCAGTAGGTCGGCGACCCCCTTAAAAATCGAACTGCTGGCTTCACTGCCGGCCTTGAGCTGAAGAAGCTCTCCTGACTTCAATAGTGCGCTGGTGGAGGCAAATATCTGGACAGCCGCTGACGTTATCTCACCAGCCAAACTCTGAAGCCTCGTTTGTTGAGACTTCGAGCAACCAGTCTCCATGTTGATGCCATGATGCTCACAACATGCCTTCGCCATTCATCCTTGCCATTGCGCCGCTCTGGTGGCCTAGCTGGCTCAAGGCATCAACTTTGCGAACGGCAGCTTTCCAGAGTCGCTTTACCTTGGCTGCCGTAGCCCTTTTTGAAAGGATAGCCATTTCCTCCGCAATGGTGACAATTTCCGAGGTAAACTGGAGGAGTGTAGCGAGGGTGAAAAACCGTCGCAATGACTTGGTCGTGTTTAAAAAAAAATTATAACAGTAGATCAAAGTATTCTAGTTTATGGTAGATGAAGCGCGGCACCGAAAGACGAAACAGACCTATTCAGGAGAAGAGCAACTGCTGTGATCTTCCTCACTGGAATGGGGTCCATCATTGTCTTCTATTCCATCTTGAGTACTCTCCTTTTCAGAGTCCTCTTTCACTGTGGTTGAAGCCACCTCAACAGGAGTCTGCAAGTCAGATGCAGCTTGCAGTACGTCGGTGATCCCCTTAAAAATCGAACTGCTAGCTTCACTGCCGGTCTTGAGCTGAAGAAGCTCTCCTGACTTCAACAGTGCGCTGGTAGAGGTAGATATTTGGACAGCCGCTGACGTTATCTCACCAGCCAAACTCTGAAGCCTCGTTTGAGACTTCGAGCAACCAGTCTCCATGTTGATGCCATGATGCTCACAACATGCCATGAGACAGTGACGCAAACATTCGACGAACGGTATCTCCCTTTTCGTTGGCGCTTCTCGGATCCACCCTCAGATTTTTGTACGGCAGGGTGGCTTACGGCCACCACTTCGGTGCAGCTTCCGGCACTCCCCATCGTGGCTGGTGTCGACCAAGAGATATCCGTACATAGTTGGACAGCCAGCTCTTGAGCATTCTCTCGCTCCTGTCCTCCAATTGTTGGGAGCAGCGGTTCAAAGACGGGACACTTTAACGGTCCTGCAACATCCTCAGGGTGTATAGAAGAACGGAGTGTCATTAGGCTGGGGCCAAGGGATCCTGCCGTAAGCACTTTGCCATTCATCCTTGCCATTGCGCCGCTGTGGTGGCCTAGCTGGCTCAACGCATAAACTTACTTTGCGAATGGCTGCTTTCCAGAGTCGCTTTACCTTGGCTGCCGTAGCCCTTTTTGAAAGGATAGCCATTTCCTTCGCGATGGTAACGATTTCCGAGGTAAACTCTAGCCCCAACCCAACGTTTGTAGTCTGTCTCCATAAAGCGCAGGTTACAGTACTCGCATTACGAATCTGCACGTCAGGCAAAGTACTCGGGCAAAAAACGGCGGGAAGCGGCAGCAAAGACAGCTAAAGGCCTAGGAAGAAGAAGCTTGTTTGCCTCGCGTCATCCGTTCTGAAATTCGGAGTCTGTAAGTCAGCCTAAGTCCTCAGGCAAAGCAACTTTTTGTGCAGGATCAGTTCTTGTGGCACCACAGACACCAGGAAAAAAAATTAATACCCCTTCCCGACATAGCGCCAAGAGATATTTGATTTAGGTCTGCAGTTTCAAGACCAAACAGAGCTTGGTGCCAGTGGAGATTGTGAGCAATGTTGAGTCCATTGGAACGCTGATAATGCGTACCCTCATCGGATACAGGCAACTGAACCGAATACCAGTACCGTATTTTCCGGAGTATCCGCCGCAACCCCATTTTTTTGTCACGAAATACAGACATCTACCCTATTTATCACCGTTAATTTGATCATCGGAAAACATATACAAGCCTCACCCCCCCCCCCCCCCTTGGGGTACCATTGAGTGTTCGAAGTGCGGCTTATACTCCGGAAAATACGGTATAAAACAATATTAAGAGGATGAAAAAAGTGTTTTTTTATTCTCAACCATGCAATATCCATGGGTACCTAGTTGTGTCCATGGTAACCCCCCCCCCCCCCCCTTTGGGGTACCATTGAGTGTTCAAAGTGCGGCTTATACTCCGAAAAATACGGTGTAAAACAATATTAAGAGGATGAAAAAAGTGTTTTTTTATTCTCAACCATGCAATATCCATGGTTACCTAGTTGTGTCCATGGTAACCATAGACCATCAACTGGTGGCTACCCATATTACAAGAGAGACATTTGGAAAGGGCATTGTCATCATTTGGCTTGGTGATGATAACACATGGTAGGAGACAAGCCTACTCGTATTATGCACCAAATAAGCCTATTCTACAGGTATATCAAAAAGGCGAGTTTCTGTACATTTACGAATATTCTTATTCCACATGAACGAAGGATATTCTCTTTCCAGTCTACATATTTCGAATCTTCCTTTCAGCCCTTGTCTTTGTACGTGCGTGCTCTGCTTTGTAACTTGTCTCTTGGATACAGCGTGCCCTGCCCCGTTGGGTGAAGATCACATTCTTTTTGGAGCCGTTCAAGAACACTGTGCTAAGGCCGCTGAAAAAGTATGTTTCACTCTGTGTGTCATGAATGCACCTCCCCCTCCTCTCTTTCTCCTCCTCCAACAACAACAACAACAACTAGCTATCGTGAGAATAAAGATTTGAAACAACAACAACAACAACAACAACAACAACAACAACAACAACAACAACAACAGCAACAGCAACAACACAGAGAGAGAGAGAGAGAGAGAGAGAGAGAGAGAGAGAGAGAGAGAGAGAGAGAGAGAGAGAGAGAGAGAGAGAGAGAGAGAGAGAGAGAGAGAGAGAGAGAGAGAGAGAGAGAGAGAGAGAGAGAGAGAGAGAGAGAGAGAGAGAGAGTGTGTGGTACATGGTGTGTGTGTGTGTGTGTGTGTGTGTGTGTGTGTGTGTACGTGCGTGCGTGTATACGTGCATGCGTGCGTGCGTGTGTACGTGCGTGCACCCCCCCCCCCCCCCCCCCCCCACACACACACTCTCTCTCTGTTCTGTTCTGTTAGTGAGTCTGACCAAAATTCTATCAACATTATACAAGCAGGCCTGCAATTGTTTGTGTTTCCAAGTTCCAGCTTCTAGAGTAGAACGAAGTGTACTGTGTATAGTTTGTACCCGGTCAAACTTGCTCAAGGAAGCCTTTGGGTCATAGATCTAAGCTGTGCCTTGTGGCAGGTTTGTTTCCTTATCAGAGGGGTCCCCTTGACAAATTTTGCTGAAGCTTGTTGTTCTCAACTTCTCATTCTGCTGTAGACTAGCAGTGACTAGTACTAGTATATCATTGCAAAGTACATGTACAGTCAACTTCGCTTATAACGACACTCGGCGGGGCATCAAAAAGGTGTCCTTATTCGCGAAGTGTCGTTATACCCGAAGTCTCATTATATGTATCACAGTGGGATGGGACTTTGCTCTAGGCATGAAAATTCTGTCGTTATTCGCGAATTGTCGTTATATCCGCAGTCGTTATTAGCGAAGTTGACTGTATGCCCATACAGTGCGCCCTCGCCTTGTTCACGCTGTCATCCTGAAAACATAGTATAACATTGTAGATAAATAGGTAAGCGGCAGCTTTCGGCTCCTTTTAGTTGTCAGTATCTACCACTTGGAGTCATATTGCTGGTGTGATGAGGTCGGCCAGAGAGCGCATGTGCTGGAGGTGGAATTGCTTTACCAGTATAACATCGATGTTCTGTGTCCTTGCACTGTTCATGTTCATGCAGAGATAGACTGTCAGCACACGATGTGCTAGAAGTGCAGAAAGTCTTGGATCACCTTCACATGTGTTTGTTTACTGCTGACGAGGCCCTCATGCAGCGGCACGTCAAGGCAGCATCGTGGAAGGAAGCTGCACCTTCCGACGTCCTCGAGCTTGTGCTGAATGGCCAGGTGCGTTAACATGTGTTTGACTGTGACCTGACCTTGTGTGTGTGTGTGTGTGTGTGTGTGTGTGTGTGTGTGTGTGTGTGTGTGTGTGTGTGTGTGTGTGTGTGTGTGTGTGTGTGCGTGCGTGTGTGTGTGTGTGTGTGTGTGTGTGTGCGTGCGTGCGTGTGTGTGCGTGCGTGTGTGTGTGCGTGTGCATGCGTGTGTGCGTGTACATCTTTCTTCTCTTTCTCAGACTCATCCTGACTTCTCTATCATTCTCCTGGGTGGTTACCAACATCCAGTGCATGCCGGAGTATGTGGTGTGATGTGTGTGCGGGAAAAAAGGCCCAAAAATAGGGATTCGCTGGCCAAAAAAGCCACTTAACCCTCATGCCACACAAGAGAGACGAGCCTGTGGGGTGTCGCAAGCGTTTATTCCAGCATGAATAATCATGAGCCTATGATCGGTAATCAAGTATGACGTACATGTACTCAGTATGAGGTCATGATTATAAATGATGTACACATATCACGCATCAGAGAGGCAAGGACAGCAGAAGCGACCCGCGGGGTCCTGCGCCGTCGGAACGGCTACGTGTACTACTAGGTTGCTATGGCAGCGGAACACTAAATCTTAGTACACATGAATAGTTCAATGGTGCCGATGTGCGTGCACTATGCGGCGCCCATTGGCAGCACCCGTGCCTCCTGCCTTTTAAATGGTGCGGGAGGGTGGGAAACAATTTCTGCGGCGGGCAGGCACAACAAACAACTGGTGAATGTCTTTACTTGTTCCTGCCTTGCGAGGGTGGCCTTGGGTGAGCTTGCACCCAAGGCGGATAGGTGGCTCGGGGCCTGCGGGGTGTCGGCCCCCCCTTTCTCCCAAAAAGAAAAAGGGGGGGGGGGTTCTAAGGGGCCGGATAAGCCCTTTAAAGGGGAAGTTAAGGCAAAAATTAAAATTTCACCAGTTGTAGTCTTCGGGGTGCTGAGTCGAATGGTCGTGGTCCGAGGAAGCTGAGACGCTCCCTTCCTACTTGAATCCCAATCGAACTCGCGCACTTCCACCGAAACTGGGTGACTGCGCCCTACTAGATGGGGATTTGTATGCAAAATGTCACTAAAAGCGCCATTTCGTTCTTATAAAAGCACGGATGACCGCGATTGGCCCATATGTTGTAGTCTTTTGGACGCTGAGTCGACTGGTTTTGGTCCGAAAAGGCTGCGATGCGGCGTTCCTCCTTTATTCCCAATCGAACATGGTTGAAGAAGCGGTCACGTGCTCCTGCGTACACCAGTCACCTGGTCACCGTGCCTGCAGGGTACAACTTACTAGCCTGTTTGACCTTTTTTGGGTGCAGTCCTGTCACTCGAGTTGAACTCGAGTTGAACCTTGGTGTGAAAGTTGTCACCTGCTGGCGTGGTGACCAGGTGATTTGGGCACCCAAGAGCACGTGACCGCTTGTTCAACCATGTTCGATTGGGAATAAAGGAGGAACGCTGCATCGCAGCCTTTTCGGACCAAAACCAGTCGACTCAGCGTCCAAAAGACTACAACATATGGGCCAATCGCGGTCATCCGTGCTTTTATAAGAACGAAATGGCGCTTTTAGTGACATTTTGCATACAAATCCCCATCTAGTAGGGCGCAGTCACCCAGTTTCGGTGGAAGTGCGCGAGTTCGATTGGGATTCAAGTAGGAAGGGAGCGTCTCAGCTTCCTCGGACCAAGACCATTCGACTCAGCACCCCGAAGACTACAACTGGTGAAATTTTAATTTTTGCCTTAACTTCCCCTTTAAGCACACAGAGTGGTAAGATAGACCAAGAAGGGTTCGCCCCGGCGAGGGCATGGATAATCATTGACAGCGGAAATTGTAGGTGGGTTAGTAGGGTAGGGGGAACAAAACAACAAGAAAAGGAGCAGAGATGCGAGATGCTGGGCTGGGGGACTACGGACGTACGGCGAGCCCGCGCAGTGGTAGCTGGGATTGCTGGGAGCTTGAATTGGCGGCTGGAGCGCCTGGCCAGCTGCAGACGGATGCGACTATCTGTTGTCGGATTGGGCACTGGCGAGTGACGATGGGGCAGTCTCCGCGTTGGGAACCAGACGGTGGAAGCGCTGGAACTGGGCCCGGGAGAGTGCGTCTGCGATGCTGTTGTCGACGCCGGCGATGTGACGGACGAGCAGGCAGAAGTTGTGGCGAGCGGCGAGTTGCATGGTGCTGCGTATCAGTGCCATGACCCCGGCGTGTCGGCATGTGCCGGACTCCCAGGCAGTGCACACTGCTGAATTATCGCAGTGCAGGAGGATCTTCTTCTGTGCCCAGTGGGGGCCCCAGAGTTGGCAGGCAATGGCGATGGGCCACATCTCTCTCCACATTATGGACTTGTACGGTGGGGCCTGCTGCGCCGCTGACCATGTGCCCGCGAACCAACGACCCTGGTAAAAGCCGCCGAAACCGCTGCCAGACGCGTCGGTGAACTATTCCAGGTCCGGGGACTTTGACCATACGGGGTCGCGTAGGAGGGCCTTTCCGTTCCATAGTGGGAGGAAATCCTGCCACCATTTGATGTCGGCGAGAGCCTCGCTGGTGAGGCGGACGGCCGCGGCAGGGCTGGTGACCGAGTAACACAGGTCGATGAGGCGGCGAGTGAACGTACGACCGGCTGGCACGACCTTGGCGGCGAACGCCAGGTGGCCAACGAGGGACTGGAGTTCGTGTTCTGACGCTGATGACCGGGTGGCCCAGGCTGCTAGGAGTTGCCGCAATGTACGGAGCTTCTCGGCTGGGAGCCGCAGCTCCCCTGCCGCTGAATCAATGTCGATGCCAAGCACTGTGAGGCAGGTGGCGGGGCCAACAACTTTGTCCGGGCCGTCTGCTGTTGGGTCACCCAGTTTTGCGAAGACCTGCAGAATAGTGGCTTTGTGGGTCGCGGCCGCCGAGGACGTGACAGACTCGGCTGCTGGAGACACTGAGATGAAGTCATCCAAATAGTGCTCCAGTGCAGGGATACTATAGTTATTACGGAGGATCCATTCTAGGGCGGTAGCCAGGCAGTTAATTAAACAGACTGGGAGCGGAGCGTAGGCCAAATGGCAGGACAGTGTCGAAATAGTAGTTGCCCTTCCATAACATGCCGAGGAGCGGCCAGTCGTCAGGGTGCACGGGGCAGAGTCGGAAAGCGTGCTTCAGGTCCACCTTTGACAGGAGGACTCCGGGGCCCGTCCTGCGCACGTGGTCTGCTATCGTGTCAATCGTAATTAGGGAGAAGCGGTAGGCCTGCTTGTCAATGAACGAATTGACGCTGTTCCCATCGGGGGCGGACAGGTGCATGATGAGCCGGTGGCCGCCCGACTTCTTGGGGACCACACCTACGCCAGAGGTGCGCAGATGGACGAATGGCGGCGCGTTGAAGGGGCCAGCGGTGTGGCCGCGACTGCATTCCGTGGCCAGGTACTGGTCGACGACCTCGGGGTGTGCTGCCGCTGAAGACAAGTTCGGGCTGCGTACGGACACATCACGGGGTCCGGTGAACCCAATACGACAGCCGGCACGTAAATTGCTAATTAGAGAATGAACAAATGCAGGATTAGGGTGCGCCAGCAATTCAGTGTGTAATGCATCAATATTGATAGGGGTGTTGGGGTGTAATGCAGCAATGTTCATAGGGGTGTTAGGGGGTGGGTGAATGCAAGAAAGTGGTGCCGGGGCTGATTGCTGTTCGCTCTTATTTCTTGGCTGGACAGGCTGACACGGCGTGCGAGCCGGAGCAGAAGAGGCAGGCGTGTCGAAAGCGACATGGGCCGCTGCAGGCGCCGTGATTGTAGCGGCGGCAGATTTCAGTTGATTTAGTGCTTGCACTCTCTTTCGCCTGCTTGCCGCGAAAGGCCGAGGTGCACGCTCCGGCCAAGTGCCCCACCTTCTTGCAAATGCTGCAATTGGGGAGGGCCTGTCCCGTGAAACACGTCGCGAAAAGCTCCGTGTCGAGCTCCGCCAGGGATCGGCTTGGGTCCTTTGACAGGGCCTGGCGTGCCCGCGTGTCATAGTCCACGGCTGCCGAGAAGCGGTACTTCCCGGCTGCCTGTACCATGCGTATTTGGTGCTGCATCAGTGCAGCGGCGCAGCGAGGTTGATCGCGGATGGCGATCAGGCTAGAAATGGACCATGCCTCGGTCCACGTGGCAAGGTTCTCAATTTTCCCTTTCGGTGCGCTTGTCACCGAAAGTGCCCCTTCCTCGTCTATGCGGAACCTCTTAGGGGCTGGCTCCTCGGTAGAAATAGATTTGGGCGTGAGCAGTATTGCCAGATCTATATACTCGATTCGTCTGATCCGATCGACTGTCTCCAACGAGACGTGCGAAATGCAGGAGGGGTAACCCATGTTCGTATGGTGCATTAATTGATCAGCACACATACCGTCTTCTTGGTGCTCCGTGACGTTCTCCGGTGCGTTGCCGCTGAGGGCTGCTGCCACGCTGGCTGCCACGATCTGCTGGATAGACTCCATTTGTGCCTGCGAGAAAGCCATGGTGGGTGTAAAGACTATCGCTGAGAGCGGAAGCTTAGAAGAAGACAATTTCAAACAATTTCTGCGGCGGGCAGGCACAACAAACAACTGGTGAATGTCTTTACTTGTTCCTGCCTTGCGAGGGTGGCCTTGGGTGAGCTTGCACCCAAGGCGGATAGGTGGCTTATACGGCATGCCGTATGCGCGTCGCGGTTGCAAATGCTTGCGTGGGGCCCCACGCGGGAGCCTGGCAGTGCGTACGACTTTAGCAGAGCTCGTATGAGACTTAGCCGGTTTTGGCGTGTCCGCGGACGGCATCTCCATGCGGGAGATGCGGCTCTGTGACATGTAGGTTAACTACGGTTTGCGTAACGCAAACCAACATTTCATAGCTGTGTGGTGTAGACCAGGCTGAATAGTGGCGGTAAATTCTTCAGCCTTGCAAGCTGTTGAATGGTGCAATCCCAGCACAAGTTGCTATGGCTTCTGCTGTAGCATCGCTATCATCGCCTCTGGCGATAGGCGTTAAAATAATGAGCAATGGTCAAATGGTGTGTGTGGTGTGCATGGGGAAGTGTAATTGCGTGCACATACTGAACTGTATATCTGCATGGTGCTATTGTTTTTTTGTTTCCCATGCGTGTGCATGCGCAGGTGTTGGATCCCAAGATGGACTTGCGCACGGTCCGTCACTTCTTCTGGAAGAGTGGTGCTGAAATGAAGATGAAGTATCGCTTGGTAGAAGAGCGACCTGCACCAGGCGCTGATAGTGCCACATCGTCATCCTAGTCTGCGTGTCCTGCTCTTCAGCAGTACACCCACTGCCGTGCTGCTGTAAGATATGCTCACTGCTTGTTTTGTGTTCATGGAGCTGGACCGTATTTGTGACAGACCTGCAGGAAGTGGGGTGTTGCCTGTCAGTGTCATGTGCTACGCTATCCCGCCCACTGCTGTGCTGCAAGATGCTCACTGCTCGTTTTGGGTGCGTGGAGTTGGCCTGTCTTTGCGACAGACCTGCAGGAAGATGGTGTTGCATGTCAGTGTCATGTGCTACGCTATCCCGCCCACTGCTCGTTTTGGGTGCGTGGAGTTGGCCTATCTTTGTAACATGTGCTAGGCTATCGGCAGCACGTCGGGCCTGTGCATTCGCGTGTTCTGGTGGCAATCAAGCAATGGACGTGTGTGCAAGAAAACCGTGTAATATACTGGACTATATCCTCCGCTGGCAATGCTCTGCTCTATTATGTTCTGTACTAACGCGCTGCTCTCCTTGTCTGTACATAATAATTCTGCATGTGTCCATACGATATGCGCGGTGTGTGGTTTTTGCCTATTTACTTGATTACTCAGATCCTCTCCTCCTGCAGCATAGATCTTATTGCTCATTGCACCCTGTGTACATACTTAAAATACAATTTACTTTGCTGCTGGTAGTGTACAGTCTTTTTATTCTTTTTTGTTTTGTTTTAATATGTACACGACTCGTCAGTTGACTGAAACATTAAATTTTAGTTCATAAAAAATACAGAATACAGCATCATGAAATCATGATCATCACCAATAATCATCAACGATAAAAAAAAAACTAGACAAATTGAGCCCTACACTGCCAGATAATATGTGGCAGGTCTAGAAATATGTACACTAGTTTCAATGTGCAGTATTTACAACCAACAAACAACCAAGTCAAGTGTACAAGTTTGTCAAGATCGCAAGACCAGCCTGGATCGTTTTAGTGTGATGATCATTGTGATCTGTTTGGTTCTCACGTTGCTGATGGCAGAAGACGGCGCAAGGTCACGCAACGTGGAGCAGAGCAGAGGTACCGTGTAGTTGTGTTGTCTTTCCATGACGTCATCAGTGTGCTATACAGCTGTGCTGTTGTCTTTCCATGATGTCATCAGTGTGCTATACAGCTGTGCCTCTCTCGAGGTTCTGCTTGATCTCGGCAGTGTACTTGCCATAGAAGCGCTCGGCCTTCTTGTTGAAGCGCATGTTACGCTCGTTGATGTAGTTGATGTCGGCTTCGTCGTGGAATGCACGCCGGCGGCTGAACTTCTCACGCTTCTCGATCTGCTTGTCCAGGTCAGCAACCATGCGATCAACGCCCTCCTTGCTAACCTTATCCTGGTCTCGATCCGGCAGTGCGTCCGCATCAGGGTACATAGCATCTCCCCTGCAAGAGCAGAGCACACATGATCGCACACGTAAATAATTCTAGCAAAGCAGCATAAGCTTGTCACCAGCAAGACTTGGTTGAACCAGGACTCTCTGCTATAGACTATACAATAAGAGCATACAGTAGTGTTAGACCATGAGAAACGAACAAGCTAGGATTTCATCAAGAACAGTAGACCAATAACATGTGGTGACTGAACAGCACATCGATTGTGGCGTACATGGCAAATCCACAAGTACGCCGCAGTTCCAGTACTGGGACTGCAAACCGAGCAAAGTCATGTAGTCCTCACTACTACACTAGCAAGTAAGTAACAAATCCAGCAGTGTACATGTACATGCGCACGTGAAAAGCTTCTGATGGGGATGCACCCTACCCAGTCGATCCACACACACACCACACACGCAGTACAGCACACACCACACACACACACACACACACACCTCAGACCTGCCCATCGCGGAAGCGATGATAGCGAACAGCTATGTTAGACATAGCAACTTGTGCTGGGATTACACCATTCAACAGCTTGCAAGGCTGATGAATTGACCGCCACTAACTTTAGCCTGGTATCCACCACACAGCTGATTGAAGTGGCTTTTTCTGGCCAGTGAATCATTTTTCATTTTTTTTAACACACACGCCACACCACATACTCCGCCGGGTATACACTGGCTGTTGGTAACCACCCAGGAGAATGAAAGAAGAGCTAGGAGAATGAGAAAGAGAAGAAAGACGTGTGCGACCATAATCGTCGGGAACTGAAACCGCAACCTCTCGATTGGAAATCGACTGCACATACCACTGCACCATATGGGACACACACACACACACACACACACACACACACACACACACACACACACACACACACACACACACACCTCAGACATGCCCATCGCGGAAGCGATGATAGCGAACAGCTATGTTAGGCATAGCAACTTGTGCTGGGATTACACCATTCAACAGCTTGCAAGGCTGATGAATTGACCGCCACTATTTTTAGCCTGGTATCCACCACACAGCTGTTTGAAGTGACTTTTTCTGGCCAGTGAATCCCTATTTTTCATTTTTCCATTTTTTTCTACACACACACACCACACCACATACTCCGGCATACATGGCTGTTGGTAACCACCCAGAAGAATGAAAGAAAAGTCAGGAAGAGTCTGAGAAAGAGAAGAAAGACGTGTGTGACCATAATCGTCGGGAATCGAACCCGCAACCTATCGATTGGAAATCGCTGCACATACCACTGCACCATATGGGACACACACACACACACACCACACACACACACACACCACACACACACACACACACACACACACACACACACACACACACACCACACACACACACCACACGCACACACACGCACGCACACCATCAGCACAACTTACAACTTCTCCTTGGCAGCTTTATAACCATCCAGGTCAGGTTGCATCTGCTTAGTCAGGCGCTGGTATTGACGAATAGTAGCATCCTCATATGCTGCACAAACACAAGCAGAAGAACGAGCAAGATAGTCCATGCATTGCACCAACCATTCCTATCCACAAGTGCTTGTACAATCATAGAACAAGCAGCGTGAAGCGTACAGAATTCAATTTGTATCACAAGTGATCTTCGTATCACATGTGATGAAGCTGCTGCACGCGCTGGCAATAAGCCCATTGCGCAATGACGTAATTTATTTGTACCATGAACACCCCACACAGCCACCTGGGCATGGTCGTCTGGGGTGTTGAACAGTGCATTGCAGATCCCAGTGTACTCACATGCATTACTCATACCTTCCATATTTGGCAATGCGCAATGGGCTTATTCCGAAACGGCCTTTTGTGACACTAATTCTCAATCAGTACATGACGATACTGATACGAAGCACAACAAGAGCACTAAATGCCGGTAGTGACTTTGGCGATGATTTTATAAGAAAGTTGGTTGGTTGCTCTCCGCACTGGAGCTCGCTCCGCTGACCTTACTTGACTGACTCACGGCTGCCATCCAGATCACATGAGAAATCCATTGAACCCTTGACTCGGCAAACCTGCAAGAAAGCACCGCTCCCTGCTCAATACACAGTGTTTCACAAAAAACCTCACCCCTCATCAGCTGAGCTTGATTAGACAAATGATTGTTCATGCCTGAAGAGCACCACAAAAAAGCTTTCCAGGCCAAACCATCGCCACTAGGCTGGTGAGTATACAAACCGACAGAGGCACTCCGTTTCCCGCGTGACAAACACCTCCTCAACACCTGATAGTGGTGTGAATCAGTGTCGCTAATGGATAAACAGGCGTTCAGGGCCCTCGGTCATGCGCAACACTGTCACCTCCACACCAGCTAGTCGGAAGCCCGCCCTGAGTACAACAGTACGAGATAGCGGTAGCAACTCCAGTTTGCTTGGAGGTGACAGCGTTGTGATGACCGAGAGTCCTCAACGCCTGTTCTACCTATCCATTAATGACTAGTGGTAAAACGAATATACCGAATGTTCGAATATTCGTTCGGTTTGACACATGCGAACGAATATTTCTCATGGCGAATATTCGTTAACCCGGTATGCAGAATCAACTTCAAACTTTCGTAACTTCGTGAATACTTGACCGAATCGCTTCATTGAAAGGTCTATCGGCATTAGCAAACTCTCAGCTGTTGTTTAGAAGCCACCCGAATGCAATCCGAGGTCCTGGAAGGGAGGTATGGCGCTCGAACGAAATCACGTCTCAAGCTCAAGCTGTTTTTTGAGCCTGTGAAAGGCACTTCAGCTGGGGATTTTTGTGAAAAATGACCTAGAAATGATGGAGAAATATATGCCTTCGTTCGTCATGCCTAATAATAATGACAATATCCAATAAAATGACTGAGAGGAGGGCATGTGATGTCATCCGTGTTAACGAAAGAATATTCGTTCGTTCGTTCATTAAGCCAAAGAATATTCGGCTACTGGGTTTTGATATTCGTTTCACCACTATTAATGACACTCACTTTTACTACGCCGCTATCTAGCATTCAGAAGATGTTTGTCGCGCTGGAAAAGAAGTGTCTCTGTAAGTTTGATCCCTGACGATGTTTTCCGCCTGGAAAGCACTATGGAAGCGATGGTCTTCACGCCCAAGTTTTCTCAGCCTGCACAAGCTCAACCGATGAGGGGTGAATTCCAGGAACACTGTGTATTGAGCAGGAAGTGGTGCTTTCTTGCAGGTTTGCCAAGGCTAAAGCTGTGTTCACAACTGGCGCGTGTACGCGTGAAACCACGCGCTTGTGCGTATTTTTGCTGGCTTTTGGGGTGCCATGCGTACGGAAACGCGCCGAAATGGAACTTCCGACATGTTGGAATTTTCAGCGCGTATCAGGCGCGTATCAGCGTACATGCCAGTCACTTTGACTGGCGGGGTCAAAAAATTAGTACTCGAAGGTGTTGCACGCGCTAAATACGACTCGGATTGCTGTTTTTTGTAAAAGGCTGAGCGCGCGTTTGGAGGCGCATGAACCGCAAGCGTACCGCGTCCACGCGCCAGTTGTGAACACAGCAGTTCGATGGACTTCTCGTGTGATCTGGATGGCAGTTGTGAGTCAGTCGAGTGTCCAGCTATCGGGGAAAGCGCAACTTTCTGTTAGGCACAACAATGTCAATTTACAGATTGGCTGGCAGTGGCGTAATGATGAAACATGCACTGAAAACGATGGCGTTAGTTACGCTAAACTTGAGAGCACTGTGGCTACTACAAGGAAGCTGGACATCAAATAGCACTAGCTACATCACCTCCTTTGTCTACATCGCCAAGACGATCACCTACAAGGCTACATTATAGGCAGGCTCTAGCACAGTTAAAGGTGTCATTTGGTGCGCATTTGTGCATGAGAAACAGACATAGTAATTCCACAGTGATCTATCGTTATCATACTACCCTACGAGAATTACCCAAATCTGACACCCAAAGAAAACTGCTTGCAAAAGTCCATGACCAAGACTCATGAGCAATACCTATGGCACGTTGTCTTCAATACTTGCTTACATTATACCACGCTCCATGTTTGTACTCCTGCACTCACGTCCCGCTTCACTCCTACCGACACACCCGTTTCTCCTTGATCCATTTTGAGTCCCGGTGCGATATCTGACTTTCATGTGCACGACCTTTAGTTCCTTCCGCCGAAACTTCATGTCTCAGAGGACACGGAAAAGGTGGTTTTCTAGATATTCCGAAGTGCATGGGTGATGCGGCATTACATAAAATGAAGGCAGCATACTGCACAGCTGGCCATAGTGTAGGGACCACACAGGCATCACCTTAGTCATGGACTCTTACTACCAGCAAAACCTGTCAAGGAGACCTCTCTGATAAGGCGACCTCTCTGATAAGGCCACCTCTCTGATAAGGCCACAACCAGTCTCAGAGGACCACTGCGAATGGGACAGAGGGGTGTTGCTTCTAGTTAAATGACCCTGGATAAGACCACCTGAACATAGAGACCACATTTGGAAGGTCCCTTGAGCGGTCGGCATGATAATTTCAAGATACTGTATAGCAGGAAAATTTCGTACGGGAATATTTTCGGACAAAGCCGATTTTCGACCTTTCGTACAGATTTTATTTTCGTACAGTGCTGCATGCTAAATGCACGTGTTCGCATACAGTACGCGCGTGCCAATGTACATCATGATTGTATAGTGTACATAATTTCACATAAACAAATATTAGTTACGGAATTAATTTTAGTACAAAAGAGGCCGTGTACGAAATCGTCCGAAAATAAATTCCGCCTGAAAATAATAATTCCCTGTTATACAGTACTAGCACACCAGTGGAGAGCAAGACTTACTTGAAAATCCAGGATCTGGGTTCTTCTTCTTTCGCTTCCGTTCGATACGCACTACCTCGTCCGCACCACAATCCAGCATCTTCAGTCGGTCGTAATCTTCGCCGGCTTCCTCGGCTTCCTTGCGAGCAGCCTCATCTTCGACCTCCCACTCCACACGGCGACGCTTGGCCTGGTAGTTGGCGGGTAGCTTCTGTATACGTTCCTCCTCTTTGGACGCTTCAAGGTTCATTTTACGCGCCTCATTCTAACGCACACACATACAGTCATAGAAATCAAAGAAGAAGAAAAAGGTGAAAATCCGAGCAATTCTACATGTGTGTGCCCGCTTCGCAATGATCGTTTTTAGAATCCCAAATGCATCCAGCAAAGCCGCACTGTATGAGGATAGTTCACAAGGTTTCGTCCCATCGGCCTACATTCTTGTTTTTCCTGGCAACAGCCCCTACAGCCAGCACAGGGCATGATTACAGTCACCAATATGTATCATACATATTGCATGTGTGTGAAGGGTGGAACTGTGCCCGCGCCGAGACTGGTTGAATCGAATCAGTGTGCCCATTCCAGCGATGAACGCACAAGGTGAGGTGCGGTATGTGTGAATGCACGTGTGCGCGCATGCACACACACACGTGCACACCACCACCACGTGCCCCCCCCCCCCCCCCACACACACAATGCACACAGACATGCCTGCACGTGCACACACACACACACACAAATGGTGCACATGCACACCACTGTCGTATGCAAAGAACCGCGTCAGCAAGCTACGTTGGTAGGGTGGACTGCTAGAAAGGATTAGATACAAGATTTTTTAACCGTTTGCGACGCTGAGCAACAGGCCAACACTATTTCCCCACACAGCTTGCAGAAGTGACTCCTTGTGGACACATACTACCTAGTTTTACACACGCACACATACAGTTGCACACATACAGTTGCACACGTACAGTTGCACACGTACAGTTGCACACGTACGGCTTCGGCTAGTTTGCTTTCGCTAGAGATTACATTTCGCTATTTTCGCGATCACACGTTCGCGAATTTAAATCGTCGCGAACTGCTTCGTGCATTATCGTGGACCATACACGATCCAACTGAAGAAATTAAAATCGCAAAAGTTTCTCAACGTGAACCAGTGCAATTCTCGATAACGCAAAATTTGCACGCAGCAAAAGTTTCTCGCTATGCAGTAGCTAGCTTAGGTAGCACTCAAGTAGTATGTCATGCAGGCGTATTCACATCAACAGCTTTACAGGTACAGCTGCAATGCCCAAAACAGACTTTTCTAGTCACTGTGAGTATGACACATACACAAGCAGGGACTTGAATCTGCACTAGCATGCTCGGAATGTTCATACATGTACTGATATGGGGCCCAGTACTGTACACACTTACACTCCGAGATTTACTACGAACAGCACACTGATACCCACGTACACACAGGATAAGGACATGTGTCCGTTTATGTTGCTGATCATTCCATATCGAAGACCGGGCTAGGCTATTTCCAACAGGGCCCAGTTTTCGCCGAAAAGTGTATAATTCTCAACCAAGATATGCTTGAAATTGTGTAACGTCCAGGACTGAACAATAGAACGAAACTGCTGTCTAAAGCAAACTATACTGTCGCGTACAAGACCGGGGAGAAACATTGGTGCATAGAATGCTACGCAAGAACCACCCGATTCCAACAAAGTTGACGTTCGAATGGAAGAACAAAGAGCAATTCATTCTCACCCGTTTCAGGTTCAAAGCACGAAACCGTTCCATACGCTCCTTCTTCTTATCCATGGCATCACTAGAAGAGGCCTCTGCAGTGGCCATTATGAACAGCAGCGCTTTGCCAGAAAGAGAGCTGTGAACAAGTCTTCGCCACTATCACCAGATCACTGGTTTGTTGAAGGTACTGCAGAAGACTGGAAGGTAGACTCAAATCAAAATTATTGAAGTACATTTTCAAGAAGAAGGTCATGACGTCAGTGCACTGCAAAAAATGTGCTACACAGGAAGTAGTAATAATTTATTAATTTTTACAATGGGAATGACTGTCTGTTGCTCGGACGACATTCACCCTAAAAACAGTAGATCTACAATTTTTCTGTTGCACCGACTTTCAACCCGGGCTGAACTCGACCCGGGCTGAACTCGACCCGGGCTGAACTCGACCCGGTTTGAAAATTCTCATGTAAACACAGCCCTACTCCCTGGGCGTAGATTTGGGGGTATACGTACAGTTGCGCTCGGTGAAATCCGGCCCGAAGTGCAAAGCCTGCGCCGCGAAGCCAGCTCCCATTACATCACTGGCGATTTGTGTGTATGAACTCAACTGTACGCACCTCGTGTAAAAGTTCGGAGTGCACGTGTTGCATGCTAAAAACAGTTCAAATTTCTTTCATTCACTTCACTCAAGAACAGCAGGATCTTCTCGATAGCGGAGTACCCAACATCCTGTTTCAACCTCCCTGCTCGCCGGACATGAATCCAATCGAGAATGTGTGGGCTCTTCTCAAGAAGAGAATAAGGTAAAGGTATAGTTTAGGGTCCCAAATTATTTTAGTGGGTCAGCATGCTCTACAGAGTCCCAGGCATGCACATTACACATAGGCCTTGGCCACAACTGACATCGAATACGATGTGGATGGACAACCACTGCACTGGTGTATGCAAAATCACCTTACGATGCGAACGAAGACGGCGCAAAGGACCATGAAAATTGCCTGAGTTTGAAGCTCGGTGATGCCGTGCGTGTCTCGAACACCTCCATGGGCAAGGGAAGGTGGTGGGTAGAAGTCAAAATATTCGTCGTTCTGCCAGGAGGCTTCCTCCGCGCCGCGCAGGTCATCCTGAGTGCCAAGGAATGATGATGGAACGTAGCCAGACTCGCCATCGACTTCTACCCACCACCATCCCTTGCCCATGGAGGTGTTCAAGACACGCACGGCATCACCGAGCTTCAAACTCAGGCGATTTTCATGGTCCTTTGCGCCGTCTTCGTTCGCATCGTAAGGTGATTTAGCATACACCAGTGGTTGTCCATCCACATCGTATTCGATGTCAGTTGTGGCCAAGGCCTATGTGTGCATGCCTGGGACTCTGTAGAGCATGCTGACCCACTAAAATAATTTGGGACCCTAAACTATACCTTTACCGAGAATAATTCCACATCGCTGCGAGAATGCTGACCAGCTGGTGCAGGCACTGCACCTGGAGTGGGACTCGTTGGGTCCTGACACGGTTTCCCCATACGTGGAGTCAATGTCACGTCGTGTTGAAGCCCTAATCGAAGCTGACGGTGGCCACACAAAATATTGAAGCCCTGCTGTTCTGTGTATGAAATAAACTGCTTCGAAACGATCTCCGTCTTCTTTACTTGTGCTGAACTGAAATGAATGTTACACTTGTCTTTGTTTGGCGCGGTTTTTTACACTTTGGTGTACAGCACATGCACAGTTCATACGGCACACGCGCACACTAGCACTTGTACAACTTTGAGGGCGTCAAGGGCCGCATCAGTACTGGGCGCCAGTTATGCACTTCCGGCCGGATTTCACCGAGCGCAACTAGTGTACATGTGCAATGACTATTTTATGTAGGTAAGGCAAGAGTAAGCTCCCAGCTTGGTGTAGGGGTATACAATCATGTACAATGTACAATGTACATGATTGTATACCCATATTTAATTTTATAACTGTCCTCTCGTGCTTCTTGGCACCTTTATTCGCTTCCTTGTCATTGAGCACCTCTGCACGGTTTGGTCACTGTGAATTAAAATAAAATCAACAACAACAACAATCCACCCGAGTCCGGCTAACAACAGTATTTTGTTTTACTTAAAATTTGTTGCCAGAGAACTTTGCCGAGGACTGGTACATGGTGTGTTACGGGTTAGCTTGAAGTTCTCTGGCAACACATTTTTCCCACCTGATTATTCACCCATGCAGGAGGGCCGCACCGTCACGGCATCAGGTTTACGTATAACTGTTAGTAGGGAGGTTCTGCTCTACGTTTTGGGAACGCGACGCAAAGAATCACGCGAACTTTCTTCGCGTTCCCGTAACGTGAAGAAATGCTGTTCTGCTCTACGTTTCACCTAGAGAAGTCACGTGGAATGTGCACTGGGAATTTCCCCTTCCATATTTGGCAGTTTTCTGCATGCAGTTGATCGATACCCAGCAAATCCGTACGCATTTTCTCTGCGTGTGCCACAACGTAGAGAACCCCATCTCCGCGTAGAAATCTGGAGCCAAAACACGCGAAGCCGTAGACTCTAACCCAGACACCTGCTCTCTACGTGATTTCTCTACGTTTCACGTATAGCAGAACCTCCCTACTGTTGGACAAACTACGCATAATATGTCCCCGTATGTCACGTGATTGTCGCCTTGGATTCGACCAATGACAGATCAAATTTAATTGCACGGGCTGGAAAGCACAGCCCCGCGGCCTGCAAAAGTCTTGAAACTGGATCCACTGCCCGTCGTCAACTGACGACGGGCAGGAAAGGATCCATTGGCTCACGAACTTGGCTTGGGTGCACACGGGAAACACTTTCCACGGCCACTCACACTCGGCCAGTACCGCTGTTCATCCAGCCCTTGCGGCTATGGCGGCGCGGGCTGGATTCCGCGGCACTGCCCTCGTACTCGTGCAGGAACCTGTACTTAGCATTATTTTGATTCCGAAAATGCCTGTCACCATCAGGACTCAAACCAAGGACACTTGCTTATGGCCAGCGATGCTGAGGCTCTACCGCTAAGCTAGGGAGGTCAGGTATCATTATCATAGTATAATATATACTGCATTTTGAAATTGATAGAGATGCTTCATTGATAATACATGTGCATGATGTAGAATCGGAGATGTTCTTCACTGACGTACACCAGAACCAGCATGTCATGATAACAATGTTGGCATCGAGGTGAGGGTGACGGTCAAATGAATGCACAAATTGAACATTCATTAGTCTAAGTGCTGCAAATGGGAAACGTCTGAAGAGAAAGTTGATTGTCACCACCAGGACTCAAGCCAGGGACTCGCTTATCGCCAAAAAATTAATATTGTTTTTGAAAAATTGATAATAGTGGAGCATTGCAGCAGTTTCTTGTACACATGTTATCATCAGGACTCAGGTCTGCAGATGCTATTGTAGCATGGGTACTTACTCACACATAATGGATCATGTGACACAAAATGGATCATGTGACACATATTGATAGTACACCGTAGGCATTCATGGTAACCGGTGCCGGTCTACTTCTCCTCCTTGTGAGTGACTGATGAACACTGACTAACTTACAATCCGTAGTAACCATGTGCCTTGAGCTGTATGTATGTGTGTTACACGTTAGTGCACCGTAATTCCTGAACTGTGAGTAGTGCTACCGTGATAGAGTGCCATGGGTGGAAGATTTTGTGCTGTGGCTGATTGGCGGCCAGTGAAGTAGAGCTTAGAGACTTTCCAGGTAGCTTGGTGCATGCCTCATCGGGCAATGTAAATCACAAGAACCCGGCATATCATCATCGGTTACTTCCGACTTGCTCCGTTTGGAGATTGCCGAGTCCCGTCACATCCGTCTGCCGTGTCATCAAATTCTTCTTCAGCAGATGCTGGGACTGGTTGGCCATTGTCCTGTGTGGATCCTTGAACTTCTACACGCGTCTGCCCCGGACAATCAGTCCCAGGGATATTATGGGCGAGGCGTTTTTGCTCCTGATCCGGCCCGCACTCTTGTCTATTGACGGGTGGCGTCAGCTTTCCATTGACCAGCACCATGTTTGCCATGGGAACGTACTCATTGTCACCATCAGATCGCGACACATCCAGTTTGTCCATCCGTGATGGCGCTGTAGATTGCACGGGCACACGTACACTAACTTCATTTGCTATGTTGATCGAGAAACAGTCAATCGACTCGTAGAAGCAATTTGAATCATTCGGTGCATTTGCCTTCGCCGAGCAGAATACGTCTCGACGGGCAGAACCTCTTGGTACAGGGCTAGTTGTGCTGGGGATTGGTCGTGATGCTGCTGTTTTGGTAGGTTGTTGGTTGCGAGGTGGTGTGCATCCTGATAATGTGTTGACTGTAATACTGGCCATGTCCATGTAAACATTACCGGACTGTTTGCCGTGATCTCCACGGCAGGCACACGTGTCAGGTTTGTTGCCGACGTGTACACACATGCATGCGTCTCGGCCAGTGACAGAATTTCTCTTACTGCACTCGACGGTGGGAGATTTTCCAGGCAGAGCCACTGTATGATTCCACTCAGAGCCACATCCTTGGGGGACTTTGCTGCACTCCAGCCCAACATCAGCAGCGTCAACACCAGCACCACCACCACCGCCACCGCCACCAGCATCACGGTCGTGACTTTCACCCACACAGTGGACCGCCACCGGTGCAGACACTCCGGGCGTTGACACATAGAAATTCTCCGTACTGAACGTTGTGTTCGTCACCGAGGTTACGCTGCAGCGACGCAGCGACGCCGAGGTGCTCACAGAGAGGAAACTGGGCGCGTGCTGTTGGCCATGATCGGTGAGTGGGAGCGACGAACTGGTCGACTCCGAGCTGGAGACTTGCCGTCGACGCACAGTGTTGCCTGCAGTCAATGACGGGACAAAAGAATATCTCATTGACACACAGTAGGATTCAGTGTAGTGTTTGAATCTATCTATATATAGTAGAAGATGTTACCGAGTCAAAACCAATAAGAGCAAAAAGCAGTGTTCCATGAATGTTCTGTCTAAAAAACATTCAGCTGGCACTTCCTCTCAAGCTTAAGTTGCATTATTTTGTGAATCGTAGTAGATGGCCGAACCTCACAACCGTAGCAAGATTTGATACTGAAAATAGTTCGACCATTATATGCATGTACAGTCAAACCTCTTTAGGACGAACACCAAGGGACCGACGAGATTTGTTCCCAATAACGGGAGTTCTTCTTATCCATATCGTATACCCAGTGAATACACCATGATTTATCCAATAGAGTTACAAATACTAGTTGTTCCTAAGCTAAAGTTTGTTTTATCAGTGTTCTTCTCAACGAGGTTTCACTGTATATGCAGGCCTTCTTCAGAATGATGGTGAAATTGGGTGTGTGTGTGGGGGGGGGGGGGGGAAGAGAACACGTGAACCGTGAGAGTAACATTTTCTTTTTTCTAAATGCTGAACCATGTCAAATTTTCGGAACCCTCGCACTATCTTGAAACACATTATATTTGCGGAAGTGATAGTTCCACAACACAATTTAGAAGCTTTGAAGTTACTATTCCATGTTATAACCCTTCCTCTTCTCAATCTATATGTTTATAATTTTGCAGATATATTCCCAGTAAGCCATGAACGGAGACCCCCTCGACTCAGGCCTCGGCCTTTGGGGAATCCATAAATAAAAAAATGAAAAAATAAAAAATGACTCCCTTGCTTCAAATAGTTGTCTCTACACCGTTGGGAGTAGAGAGCCTACCTTCTGATGCTGAGGCTCTTCTCCTTGCACCCAGACAACACCAGTAGCTGCAGCAATGCTTGTGTCGCTTACAATAGCACATGGCACATACACACACAGCAAGCAGTAGCAGTAGTATAGCAGAGCCGACTGCAATCAACAGGCCGTACCAGCGAGCCAGAAACGATGCAGGAGTGGTGGACGGTAGGGTGGTGCAGTTGCATAGATCGCTGGCGTGCGGATAGAGCTCGAAGTCAGTCCTACCGTCACCTTCAGCTGTGCCACGGCGAGCCTGTACTTGTGTGCCAGAGATTGCAATGCCGCTGCTGCTGCTACTCAGACTTGTCTCATTACTAAAATAATGGCTCTTGCTGCTGTTCAAGTCGCTACTGTTGCTGGTTCGAACAGGTGTGGATGACCCAACTACAACAAACGCGGAGCTGTTTGTAACTTTAGCCGCTCGAGTTTGACTTGTGACTGCAGTTGATACCATAGATACTGTTGAAGAAGACGGTGATGTCTGCACTGGAGATCGGTGATCACGAGGTGAGGTTAGTGGCATGTGCGTAGTTGTTTGAATCATGGCACCTGTAAAGCAATCGCAAAACAATGGTAAACAGTTGGTTCAGTTAAAATAGCACGTGGCAACTTTCCAGCAAGGAGTAACCGCTTCATAACAGCTAAAACAATTGCCAGATGAAAACACTGACTCTGATGTTGGCACGAACCCCTGCAGAAATACATATAGTTATTGCCATAATATTCAGTCTCAAGCTGTGTCGACTTTGTTAGGTCTCATCAGCGGAGCTCAGAGCAACTGCATGGTCAGAGCATAATACAATGACATTGTTGATCACTAGGCTTCATAACAGTCGGTTCGGCCGGTCACTCTGAGCTCCTAAATTCGTCGATGCCTTCTTCATTTGGTCCGCCAATTCATAGCAGTAGCAGGTTCCTTTTTCGAGCAGACGAGACCAGACGACCACACGTTGACGAGACCAGACGACCACACTTTCGCGCTGATGTTGCAAGTGTCACGTGGTCCTATCTGGTCGAAAACTGAACATACTACATGTACTCAAAGCTCCGCTGATGAAAGCTAACAAGGTCACGGCGGACTGTTGTTCAGAGTAATGCAACTACACTGTACATTTCCTCTCCAATTATAGCAGAGGACACACAAAACTCAAATTCACGTGATTGCTGAAAGGTGATTTAGGTGCCTTTCAAACTTGTGACATTGCAAACATTTCTCATCGTGAACCAATGTAATTCTTTTATGAGGCAAAAATTGCACGCAGTTAAAATTTCTTGGGCAAAGAACAGCAGAGCATACCAGGAAGAAATATGCACACATGCAAACGTCTACACACACAAATACACACACACACACACACACACACACACACACACATATATATACAAGCACTCACACACACACACACACACACACACACACACACACACACACACACACACACACACACACACACACACACACACACACACACACACACACACACACACACACACACACACACACACACACACACACACACACACACACACACACACACACACACACACAAGCACTCACACACACACACACGCGCGCGCGCGCACAAACACACACGCACGCATGCATGCACACAGAACAATGCATACATACGTGTGGTAGGTGGCCTCGTACGACTGGTAGTTGGTCTGGGTGAAACGTGGATGGAAAACTGGTGAACGACAGTCTGAGTGAAAACTCCCCGAACACTACAACCAGCTGGACACCTAGACCCTTGCCAGTACACCAGAATGGTATACAATCCCTGGTGCTCACTGCTCGATAGGGTAGCTGTACACAATGAGATTAGGAATATGTTCACACCAGTCGCAGCGGGTTGAACGAGCACTTTAAGGGCGCTTTTCTTGTCGCTGGGCAGGTAACGCCCATCTTTGAAGGTCGCTACATTGCTCGAACTGATGCTATGCTGTGCCCCATCCGTAGCCGCTTGCCCAGTGGCTATAGTGGTATTGAAGCAGACCGCCAGGCCCTCGACAGCAGCGTATCGTCGTCTTCCTGTGACACGGATGGTCGACATGTTAAGTGCGGCTTTCAAAGTACCCAGGGGTATATCTGCACATACAAGTAGGTTGTGCAAATACAGTAGTTAAAAAGGCAGCAAAGTGACAAAAGTTTAAGGATGGCAATAAACAGAATCAGCTGAAGTTCCATTTCACGAAACTCGTGAAATGACGCTTCACCTAATTCTGTTTATTCCCGTAGCTATGCAGAAGACGTTACTTCAGTAACGTCTGGCGCTAGCCAGGGTCTACACAGCTTTAATTTGGTGTTTGTTTGTTTGTTTGTGCGTTTGTGTGTTTGTGTCACGCCTGGCGCTATCCCGTATCTGTCCCGTACCGTACCGTACCATCAAACACAGCTGACCACATACAGCTGGCCGCAATATTCAAATAGGGCTTTCAAACGCAAGATCACAACGTGAAGCAACTTGGAAGAATGAGTATGAATGCGAAGTGTATGGGGTAATGCATGTGGGGCGATAGTGCGGGTTCTAATCCCAGGTAATGCCTTAAAAAATAGGAGAATTGAAAAATTTATAACATCCCTTTTCTTTTTTTGCCGTCATCAAGGCGGTAGACGGTGTCGTATTACCCTCGACCGTACCTATCCCGTACCTGTCCCGTACCTACCCCGTACCGTACCGTACATTCAAAGACGGCTGGCCAAAATGCAAATTCAAATAGCGCATTCAAATACAAGATCATAACGTGAAGCAACTTGGAAGAATTAGTATGTATGCGAAGTGTATCGGGGGATGCATGCAGGGCGATAGTGCGGGTTCGAATCCCAGGTTATGTCTCAAACAAAAAGTAGAAACTTATAAGAATTTTTAACATCCGTATGCTTTTTTTGTCTAGGTCATCAAGGCAAAAAAGCATAGCGTAGGGCCCTGAGCTTCCAAGCTCTCTCGTTATTATTATTTATTATTATTATTACGTGCTTGTTCGTGTAGACATCAGCATGGCCTGCAACTGTTTGTTCTGTTTATTGCCATCCCTAAATACAGTAGTCATGATCATGTGCAGCATTACACTATTGTAACCTTGTCATACTAGAAAATTACAGGGCACAAACTCACACTCCGTTCTTGACTACGCGCAGCACTCCAAATGTGTTCCCATTAGGACGTCATCAGGACAGAACAATCATAATTATAATGGTTTTTAATGCCACTTGAAGCACATGAATAGGCTACCATCAGCTCCTTTTCATAATGCTTTTAGCTTGAAATGCTTTGCATGGGAAATAACTGGCTCAATAAAATTGAAACTTCAGGGCAGGGGAAACTCCAGGGCAGTGTGCCGGTTATCAGCTATACATAATATAATGCTTGTCTGATGCCTGATCCATCGGGTATGCACACAGTTTATAAGGTTCTTTTGCACAAAGGTTCTCTGTGTTTGACAAAGAAAGCGACCAAATACTACTGGCCGAAACTAAGCTCATGACTCGGTCATCTTCATATGTAAATCCACTTTTGTTGCCCTCGCACTTGAAACACAGTGGTTCTGAGTACACACCCACAAGTCCAGATAGGCACACACAATGACACATGCACCCACATGCATACTTCAACGAAGTACACACACTGTGACACACACACACACACACACACACACACACACACACACACACACACACACACACACACAGGCACGCACACAATGCATCGTCACAGTACATGGAGCGGACCGTGTTGAGCTCACCTACACGCCGAAAATACGCCATGGACACCGGAACGACGTAGGTCAGATTGACAAGCCCGGTTAGCATAGAGTCATACACCGGAGAGTATAAAGTGCTAGACACTGCGGGTTGCTGAACAGCAAGGCTATTCACGTGTGGCCTCCAGAACCTGGCTTTGATGAATGCTGACACATGATACTGAGGTTTTTGGCAGGACTTCATTTGAAATTTCAGGCATGGATACTTCCACCAACGAACCGGCGTAGTGAAGTTCAGACCCCAGGATATTTGTGAGTGTGCGACTTGGCTGAGACTGAGTGTGTGCATCTGCTTAGGATGCGTGGCGTGCCTTGCCGAATTGGTCGTGGCGTAAACGGCAAAGCATTTGTAGTCGTACGCAAAGCTCTGAACACGGCCATCCTCTTTCCCTGAGCACGACAGATGTGCAGAGGTGGTCTAGGTTTAGACACGGGTACATACATCATAGGTAGCATGTTGTCACTTTATGCTTCAAGGAAAACACTGAGACTGGGTTTCAGAAACTACTGGCTGTGTGTACATCGGCATGCCGACTTCCCTTGTGTCTTGCTCAAAATGTAGGCCCGGCACTCAATGACTCCAGCACACACATAATCACGAAAATTGTGTATTGTTGAACGGTCTTACAGGCGCATAACCCGCATGGGGTACGTGCTACCCCCCCCCCCCCCCACACACACCCCTAAAAAGTACGACCTAGACCGCTAGCACGCAGATAATGACCATGATGATAAGCACCAGTCATCCTACACTTATGAAGTAACTTTGGAGTTTGATGGAAATGTAATGTGAAGAACAATAATAGGAACAGCGCTGATCCTGCGGCAAAACTACTAGTACTAGTGTCAAGCTTCATGATCGTGAACTGTTACTTCAGAAGGGCTACAACATCACGTACTACTAATGTGTTGAGCTAGTTATTAGAAAGTTGCTTACCGTCATTTTCAAGCATTTTTCTCTGGAAATAGTACAGGCTGGTGGACGTTATTCCAGCCTCTCTTTAGATCTGTGTCCGATTTTTATCACTGCAGGACCTTCGAACGTGGCATGGCCTCCTATTTTCAGGTCCGTTTTACAAATGTCCTGCAATTGTAGTCAAGCGCAAGTTTTGCCGCAGGATCAGCGCTGCGCGTGCTCAAAATTATAGCGCCGGAGCATCCGGTGAACATATTCGTCCGGTGGTCTTCATTGTCATCGGTGTGCTGAAGTATCGCTGCAGCTGCTGCAGACCCGAGATGCGACAACGGTAACGCCGTTTCAACTCGTCGACGCCGACGGTCGAGGACCACTATCCAAGTTTCTTGAGAGTCGAATGTGCGTCCTTACCCGCATTCGTTCGCTATTTTCATGATCGTCATCCGGTATCCTTCGCGCATCTGTGCAGTGCAGCTCAGAATTATATTTTGGCTCGACAAACTCAGCCAAAAAGGCACAGGATTCTGGAGAGCCGTTCCGTACTCATAAAACAACGGAGACGTCGACGACTGGACCTGTTCCCATGATTATTATTTTTTTTGTTTTTGGTAGACGTTTGCACGTCGTGTGAACTTATCTTTGTTGAGGGAACCCCTGGCCTTGCACGGCGGCTAGGTCGATTTCTCACTGCAGCGGCAGACCATGGGCCTGGCATTGCAGCGGTTGGCATTGTATTCACTATTCAGGACCGGTAGTAGGTCTACAATAATAATAATTATTTGCATAGTATACAACATAGTCATTACTCCGCCATCCACAACACTATGGCTTGAAAGTGATGACGTCAAAAACGGCCAGGGAGTAGTAAGTTTACATCAGATTTGTATTTTGGATCCACTAAGGTGTGACTTTGCTATTGCCTCAGTATGTGGATGCATAGCAACCTACTCATGTCGCATGCAGGTGTGACTTTTACTTCGCCACCAGTTTGATGTGTATCTATATTCATTACGTCATAGTTGTACTGCATGCACGCACACACACAGATTAGTTGAGTGTGCTTCTTTTTCCTGTTGTTCTTTCTCATGACATGTTTTGTTTCTGTTCCCAAGTCTTCACGAATAAATAGTAACGTATCATGGCGCAGTGAACTTGTTCTTTCCTGTGTCCGTGCCTTGTGTCCGCACCTTGTAGTGTTTGCACGGGCCCAGTTGTTTTTTCCGTATGAAGTAGTAGTTTCCGCGATCGAAACTCTGTCTCAGTTGAATTATTTTAGTAGTGTATTTGTTCGTACTCGTGGACGAGTGACTAATCGTAATGGAACAATCACAGGACGATACCGGATTTGACCTGTCCTCCGCGACCGAGCGACAGCAGGAATCTCAAATGGGTGTCCTGATGAAATTTATGGAGCAGCAGATGCGTGCAGCTGAGGCTCGTGATAAGGCGATGCAAGATCTGTTCAAGAATGTTCAGAGCAGGTCGCTATCACCATCGCAGCCTCAGTTCACTCCGCAGCCCTCAGCACCAGCTCTGTCCACCTCGCAGACCTCAGCACCACGGCCAGTGAACAGTGTGTCCTGCCCACACTTATTGTCGTCTGCGACGCTGGCTGATTTTCACTCCTTCGTTGAAAGCTGGAGAGATTTTAGTGTTTGCCAGCATTTGGCCAGCCAGGCTCGTGAGGCCAGAGTGGCAACACTCCGTCAGTGTTTCGATGAGGAGCTGCGACGTTTTATCCGAGAGGATATTATTTGCATACCAGCTTCAGCTGACGTTGACCTGATGCTGGAGCGCATTCAGGCGTATATCAGACGGCAACGTAACCCACTGTTGGACCGCATAGAGTTTTACCAGCGTGTCCAGCAAGCTGGAGAATCATTTGATGCGTTTTACACAGCCCTGTGTGAACTACAAAGTGCATGCGACTTCTTGTCACACAGCCTATGTGGAACGTGTGATGCTCGCTGCTGTGCGCAGTGCAAAGGCCTCGGCCGTACCCTCAAGGAGGAATCTCTGCGCGACCGCGTCGTAATTGGTGTGCGGAACGATGAGACGCGACACAAGTTGCTCGCAACTCATGGTCTCACGCTCGACCAGGCTGTCACCCTCTGTCGGACGGAGGAAGCAGCATACCACACCAAGGCGCACATGCCCAGTCCTGGCCTCCAGGCAAGTGCTGCCAAGCAGTCGGCGTACAAGCAGCAGAAACGTCACAAGCCAGCTGACTCTAAGTCAAGTGCGACCAAGTCCACTTGTCCAAATTGTGGTCGTTCTGACCACACGAAATCTGTATGTCCTGCCAAGGGCAAGAAGTGCAACTCCTGTCATGGCATTGGGCATTTTCAGCGAATGTGCAAGAGCCAGAAACAGCCGAAGACTAGCTCTGCTGCCAAGCTTGGACAGCTGAAGCTACAGCGTGCGTCTCGCGTGGACCGTCGCACAGTACCTGTTTCGACCATGCTGCAAACAGAGGATCAGCCATCCCAACTGTCCTGGACACCAGACACAGGCAGCGACGTTGATGCCATTGGTGAGGAGCACCTCACGCAGATCGGTGGGTTCGTCGAGAACTTAGATGACGACCACGACTGTGTGCAGGCTGTGACCGGTGAGCCGCTACGCAACCTGGGCAAGATACGTGCGACTCTACGAGTCGGTGAGACGCAGCATGAAACCGTCATCCATGTGTACAAGGGTCTACACGATGCCCTGCTCTCTCATACCTCATTGCGTGCGCTGAAGTTTCTCCCACCTGATTGGCCAGTCCAATTCACCGCTGAACACGAGGGTGCATCTTCACCCAAGATCTGTGCAGCTGTTTCGTCATGCGCTCATCCTAGTGATGCTGAGTTAGCGCGGACACGTGAGCAGCTCCTGCAAGAGTTCGCTGACGTTTTCTCGGATTCTGGTCTGAAGCCAATGGAAGGTCCGCCAATGGAAATTGAGCTACAGCATGATTCTAAGCCTTCCTGTGTGTACACTGCTCGACCAATACCGTATGCATTCCGTGACCAGATCAAGACTCAGCTCGACGGCATGGTCAGCGACGGGATTATTGAACCAGTGACGGAGCCCAGTGAATGGTGCCATCCGATTGTCATAGTAGACAAGAAGGGCAGCACTGAGAAGCGCCTCACAGTTGACTTCAAGCGGCTGAACGACCAAGTCCGTCGTCCCGCGCATCCCGTACATACGGCACGTGACGTTGTCTCTGGAGTTGGCTCTGCTAAGTTCTTTACGAAGCTCGATGCAAGGCACGGCTACTGGCAGATTCCTCTCAGTGACACTGCTCAGGAATTCACCACGTTTATCACCCCGTACGGCAGATATCGTTATCTACGGAACCCGCAGGGTCTAATATCTGCTGGGGATGAGTTCAACCGGCGCACTGATGCTGCGTTCTCTGCCATCCCGCGTCTCGGCAAGGTAGTCGATGATTGCCTAGCGTACGACGACGACTTTCTGTCGCATGTCAGCCACGTGCGCGAGATTCTGCTCTGCGCCAGGGAGCATGGTATCACGTTCAGCCCCGCCAAGTTTGTGTTCGGTACGCAACGTATCCATTTCTGCGGCTACAACGTCACGCCTGATGGCTGGGTCGTCGACGATGATAAGACGTCCGGTATTCGCCAGTTTCCAGTACCCGCCAACAGAACCGATCTCCGTTCGTTCCTCGGTCTAGTGAACCAATGTGGCGAGTTCACTCCACATCTAGCCGAGTTGACCAATCCTCTGCGTGGCCTGCTCAAGACCTCCCGTGAGTTCATGTGGGACGCTAGCCACACTGCAGCGTTTGAACGGACGCAGGAAGCTCTCTTGTCCCCTCCGGTTCTCGCTTTCTATCAAGTTGGTCAAGACCTCCGGCTTGAAACCGATGCATCCGCTCTAAGAGGTCTCGGATTCGTGCTTTGGCAAAAGCAGAATGATCAGTGGCGTATTATTCAGTGTGGATCCCGCTACCTGTCTGATGCTGAAACACGTTATGCTGTCATCGAGTTGGAAATGCTCGCTGTAGTATGGGCCGTGCGCAAATGCCGCATCTACCTGTCTGGTGCGCCATTTGAAGTAGTCACCGACCACAAGCCCCTGATTCCGATCATCAACTCATATTCGTTGGATCAGATCGAGAACCCGCGTCTTCTACGATTACGCCTCAAGCTCCAAGCCTATCAGCTGCAGGCATCTTGGCGAAAAGGTTCTGAAAATGCCTTCGCCGATGCGCTGTCCCGGAATCCTGTTGGCATTCCTTCCACCACTGATGAGCTTGGTGAAGCCCCGTCGCTTCATTGCCGCAGCATTCAGATCTGCATGGTGCACTCGGACACTGAGCCGAATGCGAATCTCAAGGTTGCAGAGCTGCGGGAAGCTGCAGCTGCAGATGCCACGTACCAGTCATTGATTGAGTGTATCTTGACTGGATTCCCTGATCGCCAGCAGAAGTTGCCTGCTCCGTTACGTGCGTACTGGAATGGACGTGAGCATCTCTCCGTCGACCATGGCATTGTGTTGAAGGGCAACCGCATTGTTGTTCCTGAATCATTGCGTGCTCAGGTATTGCACAACCTCCACGCTTCACACCAAGGCCTAGTGCGTACTAAGTCTCGTGCGCGTCAGCTTGTATACTGGTCCGGTATCACCAAGGACATTGATACACTCGTTCGTTCTTGTCCTGCTTGCCGCGAACACCAGTCGTCCCAGCCAGCTGAGCCCCTGCTGAACGACCGAACCCCAACACTCCCGTTTGAATGTGCATCTGCCGATTTGTTCACTTGTCAAGGTCACGACTTTCTTGTGTATGCAGATCGTTTGACCGGTTGGCCCTGTGTCGCGCGTACTGGCCGCACCACCTCATCGCATGACGTGATACTCGCATTCCGTCGCTGGTTCTCTGATGTTGGTGTTCCTGCTGTGCTGTGTACAGATGGTGGTCCCCAGTTCTCCTCGCATAAGTTTGCTGAGTTTTGTAAGCGCTGGCAGGTAAACCATGTCATGTCCTCTCCCCACTACCCGCAGAGTAATGGGCACGCCGAAGCTGCTGTCAAAGCCATGAAGCGTCTTATCACCAAGACAACCGTGAATGGCAATCTTGACACAGATGACTTCCGCCGAGGGCTACTGGAATGGCGAAACACACCTGGCTCCTCTGGTCAGAGCCCCGCTGAGCTCCTATATGGCCGCTCTCTCCAGTCATTCGTCATTGCACATTGGAAGGAGTTTGATTCATCCTGGCTCTCCAAAGCGACGACACGTGATGAGACTGCCATGCCATCCGACGATGCCGTCACAGACAAGTCGTCAACTCGTCGCTCGTTGCCGCAGCTCCGCCTCGGCACCCACGTGGATGTTCAGCATCCGCGCACCAAGCAGTGGTCTATTCGTGGGGTCATTGTTGCTGTCGGTAATCATCGGGACTACCTAGTGAAGTTGCCGAGTGGTCGCATTTATTGGCGGAACCGCAGATTCCTGCGTCCGTATCGCCCACTTGTGCCTGCACCGCTTGTTGTCCAACCGGCTGCTGCTGACGCCTCTTCCCCGCCGCCGCCGTCCCGCCGCAGCGCACGTCAGCGCAAGCCACCCCAGCGTTTAAACATTGGTTCGCATCATGGACAGTCCTATGATTGACACTCTTGATCACTAATGTCAATTTCTGCTGTCTCTGCTTTGTTGTTTTCATTCTTCATTTTGTTTTATTTATGATAGATGTTGCTGTCACAGGTTTCGCAACATCTCGAAGGGGCGTGATGTGTATCTATATTCATTACGTCATAGTTGTACTGCATGCACGCACACACACAGATTAGTTGAGTGTGCTTCTTTTTCCTGTTGTTCTTTCTCATGACATGTTTTGTTTCTGTTCCCAAGTCTTCACGAATAAATAGTAACGTATCACAGTTGTCACCCCGCCCCCAGTACTAGCCAAATCAGTCAGTTTCATTGGCTACATCACCTTGCTGTGAGTAAGACCGCTTGAAATGTATTTGGATCCATACAAAAACTGGATCCAAGTGGATCCAGTTTTTGAATTTTTGAAATTGTTGCTAAGCTGTGACGTAGCACTTTCAAGCCCTAATCACTTCACACATCTGTGGAGATCCGGGATGCGACTTGAAAGCTCCAAAAGTTAGTGCTATAATTATCATGGATAGATCTTTGTTGCTCACTGACACCATGGTCACCATGGTCACAGATGACCTTGCTGTGAAAGACGACACGTACATTGATTGATTGATTGATTTTTATTTCACGGATCCTCCAGAGGCAAATAGATGCCTATCGAAGGGAGTCTCCTATATGTAGAGCGGTCTATTGGTTTGCGCTGCCCTGGCAACATGACGATTGTGTCACACAATAATTATGTGTTTCATCCCTCAAACCAATGCATACATGTATCTTACACAAAAGTTAGAGAGCTGATCGTAATAATTATTATCATTGTACTGCACCCGCTCATGTCTCAGCAGACAACGGCTTGTACCTAAGCCTGAGGTTTAAAAATGATACATAGAAAAAAGGACCGTTTTGAAAGTGAAGCTGTACCTACTACTACTTGGTACTAGTAACCCCAGTATGATAATAATAATAATAATAATAATTATACTCGTACATCTACATGTACATGTACATGTACATGTACATTCACAATACACAATGATGTACATTGCATATCACAATCCCCAGAAATTGTGAGCAATCGTCAGGCGACTTATGATATGTCCAGTGGGACTTGGTCCAATAAGGAAATATAAAGCATAATTTGGTGATGGTTGGTGGATATGATTTATATTGACCAAGCCCCGCTAGGGTCCAGCGGATTCTGCCGGAAGAAAAATTGGCAGAATTCGGTACATGAACGTTTGGTATGTGGATAAAGAAATGGAGCAGAATTCGAGGAATTGCCCGCCATTAGGTTTGTATGGTTCTGCCAATTTTACTGCTTTTCGAGCAGAATCTGCCACCTTTTCGAGCAGAATCCGCCGGTCCCTAAGCCCCACTGAACATGTACAGTATGTCACAAAATGGAGCAATACATGTACTAATGTCTTGTACGTACCGGTAATTAATGGCAATGCTGTTACTAGTGTTAGTGCGACGGTCAGACTCACTGTGTACTGTAGGTCTACGTACCGACAATATGGATGTGCTGGATCATCTTGGCTGCATCTCTCGCGTTCAGCGCCAAGCATGGTGCGCCACAGCTGCTTGCTTTGCTGCAGTCCTCCTTGCTTATATCGCATGTGCAACAGGAGCCCAGAATGCACTGCAACGATACGTGCAGCAACATAACCAAGCCTACTTGTGCCGCAATCGCCCGATTTCCACCAACGGGCAGGAACGTCATGGCTTGTGGATCGTACAGACGTCGGTTGTCCGCCATTTCAAAGAGTTGTGAACGCATTCCCGCTAGACAAACAGACTGATCTGATCGTCATCTCTCCATGGCTGAAGTAAAAGGGCAGTGATCCTACATGAATAGACTACTTGCAGACACGGCTAGGCACGCAGACCTTCAGAGGAAGCCAGGAGAACGAGCGCCGCAAAGAGGTTAGCTCTTCGCGAGAGACACGGTCTTGTGAATTGTAGGAGGGAAGGTGTCGAACTCCGTCGCTTATAAAGACACGTCGACAGTAATCGTAGATACTGACAGTGGGACTATTCTGGAGGTTGCGAAGTGTTCGTGTTACTTAACGTTAGTCAGGAGCGTGCGTGTAACCGGCTTGAAATTTCATGCTGAGCGGAAGCCAATTGTCATGGTCTAGGCCAGAACAAGCTAAAAATGCACTGCACGAAATCTGCTTTGGAAACCCGATGCAGATCAATGGACAATATCACCAAAGACATGTGCACCGGGCATTCTAAGACTGTAACACGTTCCCGTGATTTGAGCTCAGCCTCATTGCCAAAGGTCCGGAAAGTACGACTGGTGCTTACTCATCTGCCAACTGAACCAAATTTAATTCGGTTCAAGTTTTTTTAAAGATCATTCAAAACGTAAAACGTAGTTGTTATGTTGCTCGTTCATGTCTGCAGCCTTTTAAACTCATCATTTCTCTGATAAAGCGAATAAATTACTAGTAAACAAAAAGCACAAAAATCTCAGATGATGGTGGTGGCGATGAAACCGGCTGCGACGATTACGACCACCATGATGACGACTAGGCCTAATGACGATGACGAGTCTATTGACGACAACGCCTACAGATCTACAACATCCTATCTGACACGGGATATTACACCCATGAACCCAAACCTCAGTGTAATCGGGCTAGTGATACATGTAATGACAGCGTTCCACATTTAACTACAACTTCCTTCCTAACCTAACAGCATTGAATTTGTTTGTATTTATGTCATTACTTCCCGATGGTGTTCCTTCCTCTCGAGCCTGCATGTCAACGTCAGACATTCAGCACGGTCTGTTTGTAAAATTGACGCTCGATCTTCTCCAGATCTTTCCCTTTTCAGCTCCCTCAGACGTTTCAGCTCCCTCAGACGTACACGAATATGTGTGTATTATTGTTCTAAGCGTGAACGCGATATTCGGACAGCCAGCTCTTTCGACATTCTCGAACCTCTTCAGCAGATGCTAGGGAGACTGGCCGAGGTGCTCAGCAACGGAGCATTAGTTACATGTACATGTACATGTATGTCATAGTTCGCGCTGGGAAATCAGCAAATACCGGCATTTTACGACTATTAGTACCTGGTTCACACTGTGTACATGTAAAGTATGTGATGAAGCAACGCCAGACAATGGCGCTGAAAACTTCAGCGACCGCGATGCAACATTGAGCCGTTCAGGTTACACATGTACATGGGCACGTGGCATTGTTATTATTATTACATGTAGAAAGGAAAAGGACATATGGATAAGAGTTAAGAGTAACTCTCCATCACTGTAACTGGATATTATACAGTCAGAAAGTGCAATAACTAGGCGAAAAACTGACAAGAGTACTGAGACATTCGGCGTCCTTTTCCTTTCTACATTGTTTATGGCTCAACATCCGAGTTTCAAATTATTACATGTATTATTATTATTGGACTCAGATGGAGAGCCAAAGTTTAATTTATACAAAGAGAAAGACCTAGGAACTACAAGTTACGCTATACAGTCCACTAACACCACCAGTTACTAAACAATCAGGTCATGCGATAACAATAGCTATGAAAAGTATGAATGCCGCAGACATCACCACGCAACATGACAATTTGTTCAAGCCTCCAAACCTTGAACAAATTGTCATGTTGCGTGGTGATGTCTGCGGCATTCATACCTTTCATAGCTATTATTAAAGGGGAAGTATACCCTAAAATCAAATTTTCACCAGTTGTAGTCTTCTGGGTGCTGAGTCGAATGGTCTTGGTCCGAGGAAGCTGCGACGCTCCCTTCCTACTTGAATCCCAATCGAACTCGCGCACTTCCACCGAAACTGGGTGACTGCGCCCTACTAGATGGGGATTTGTATGCAAAATGTCACTAAAAGTGCCATTTCGTTCTTATAAAAGCACGGATGACCGCGATTGGCCCATATGTTGTAGTCTTTTGGACGCTGAGTCGACTGGTTTTGGTCCGAAAAGGCTGCGATGCAGCGTTCCTCCTTTATTCCCAATCGAACATGGTTGAACAAGCGGTCACGTGCTCCTGGGTGCCCAAATCACCTGGTCACCACGCCAGCAGGCGACAAATTTCACACCAAGGTTCAACTCGAGTTCAACTCGAGTGACAGGAGTGCACCCAAAAAAGGTCAAACAGGCTAGTAAGTAGTTGTACCCTGCAGGCACGGTGACCAGGTGACTGGTGTACGCAGGAGCACGTGACCGCTTGTTCAACCATGTTCGATTGGGAATAAAGGAGGAACGCTACATCGCAGCCTTTTCGGACCAAAACCAGTCGACTCAGCGTCCAAAAGACTACAACATATGGGCCAATCGCGGTCATCCGTGCTTTTATAAGAACGAAATGGCGCTTTTAGTGACATTTTGCATACAAATCCCCATCTAGTAGGGCGCAGTCACCCAGTCTCGGTGGAAGTGCGCGAGTTCGATTGGGATTCAAGTAGGAAGGGAGCGTCTCAGCTTCCTCGGACCAAGACCATTCGACTCAGCACCCCGAAGACTACAACTGGTGAAAATTTGATTTTAGGGTATACTTCCCCTTTTAAAGGGGAAGTATACCCTAAAATCAAATTTTCACCAGTTGTAGTCTTCGGGGTGCTGAGTCGAATGGTCTTGGTCCGAGGAAGCTGAGACGCTCCCTTCCTACTTGAATCCCAATCGAACTCGCGCACTTCCACCGAGACTGGGTGACTGCGCCCTACTAGATGGGGATTTGTATGCAAAATGTCACTAAAAGCGCCATTTCGTTCTTATAAAAGCACGGATGACCGCGATTGGCCCATATGTTGTAGTCTTTTGGACGCTGAGTCGACTGGTTTTGGTCCGAAAAGGCTGCGATGTAGCGTTCCTCCTTTATTCCCAATCGAACATGGTTGAACAAGCGGTCACGTGCTCCTGCGTACACCAGTCACCTGGTCACCGTGCCTGCAGGGTACAACTACTTACTAGCCTGTTTGACCTTTTTTGGGTGCACTCCTGTCACTCGAGTTGAACTCGAGTTGAACCTTGGTGTGAAATTTGTCGCCTGCTGGCGTGGTGACCAGGTGATTTGGGCACCCAGGAGCACGTGACCGCTTGTTCAACCATGTTCGATTGGGAATAAAGGAGGAACGCTGCATCGCAGCCTTTTCGGACCAAAACCAGTCGACTCAGCGTCCAAAAGACTACAACATATGGGCCAATCGCGGTCATCCGTGCTTTTATAAGAACGAAATGGCACTTTTAGTGACATTTTGCATACAAATCCCCATCTAGTAGGGCGCAGTCACCCAGTTTCGGTGGAAGTGCGCGAGTTCGATTGGGATTCAAGTAGGAAGGGAGCGTCGCAGCTTCCTCGGACCAAGACCATTCGACTCAGCACCCAGAAGACTACAACTGGTGAAAATTTGATTTTAGGGTATACTTCCCCTTTAAACTTTTATCTCCACGTAGATCATGCGATAACATTTTGTATAAATTATTATTATTATTTGTCTCTTTCCCTCAAACTAGTGAAGATTATTATTATTATTATTATTATTATTTATTCCCAATCACGTGGCACCAGCCAATGCAAAGGTAGTGCGGGCGACAGCCAGCCATGGCGGTAATAGAGCTAGAGTGGAGAAAGAAAAAAAAAGAAAGGGGAACTGAAAGGTAACGCTGATGCTTATTTATACATTGACGAATAGCGCAAACATTAACATGTTATCACCGAGTACCATTTGCGCAGTCCTGTGTGCTTCCGGATGATGACCACCTATGGCTCACCTCTGCCCGTGGACTAGCAAAATTGAATGAACACGATCAATAGTGGCAGAAACAGGGCGAACAGAGACACAAAACTCAGGCTTGAATAGGTGATGATAATATTATAATCTGGTAACATTCGATTTTAAAATTTTAAGTGTAAACGACTAGGCATCCACCGTCGTAGCACTAAACTGGCGAGAAGGATATGACCATGTCGATAGGACAAGTTCTAAACCATCACCGCAATGATTTGCCTTTTCAGCTCTATAGAGTTCACCCTACTAACTACTGTGATGCTCAGTACACTGTCTCTTTTTAGGCTTTTTAAAGGAATACCTGACAGTCCTGGCTATCTCATTATTTTGATGTGTTCACAGCGTTCTAGCCAGCCCAAGTTCCCTCATATTAACGCCATTCGCATGTCCACTCAGAACGCAAGGAGTACCCCCAAGCACCAATGCTTTAGCGAGCCATGAATTGGAATTGTTTGCCGTCTTGGCATCTTGGAGGGTCGTAGAATAGAGAACTCTGCAGATTACCCGTTGGCACCGTTGTTAGACATTAGGCTATCCATTACTGATCGAAACAACGGAGGGCATCGGAGGAATTGGTTAGGGAGTATTCAACAAAGTCCCACATAGCGCCGAAGAACAGAGGCTGTGACGGGTGTCATCTGGAGCAGAAGAGACAGCTAGTGAGTGGAGGCGCAACTGCACCACGATGGGTGCACTGTGCTGCTGTGACTCTAGCCCTACAGATGCTGCAGATTCGGGCAGTGCTGCAGCAGCGCCGGACAGCGCGGGCGTGCAACGGGACGCACCCGATTCGCCGCATGAAGTTCCTTCGGGTCGACGGGGGACCCTAGACGGTGCGTTTGACACAATCGGCCCAGGCTATGATGAATTACCACTCCGACCCCGATGGCAGCGTCAGGCCAACCAGGGTCTAAACATGGCAACATTGGTTGAGGCTACAAACCCAAACGACGAACCTCAACCACAAGGCTTGCGCCATGATCATCCACCAGCAGACGGCACTCCAATCGTTTCCCCTCTCCCAGGGTCCGTGCCATCCTATACCCCATACATATTCCCCGGATATCTACGTGACATTGAACCACGTGACATTGAACCAGTAGTCTGTGACCTCGGCGTTCATAGAGGCCAACGACAAACGACAAGCGCCAGTCACGATGAACCACAAGCCGGTGCCACTGTGACCTTTGACACTCATCCGGAGAATAATCCTGGTGGCAGTCCAGCTACCTTACACAATGCTCCACCCTTTCACCGCGCTGGAGGAGAGGAACACCGTGAGGAACCTAATCCAGTGCGTCCTCCAATGGCACCTCGGGTAGCGTGGGCACCAGTTGCAGGGGAAAAGGTTGAGGAGGACGAAGCCTGAATCGTAGTGGACAAAATTCCCAGGAGGCATTGAGAGTACTATATCTGAACGTACTGCTGTAGAATCTTGAAGAAAGTGAGCATTTTAGAATCTACCCAAGATCGCTGAATCAGCTCGTGTACGTTTTTTGTACAATTGTGTCGTACGTGCACGTGGCCATGTTCTACAGTAGTTTATCGTGGTGTGGCGCTGGGTCAAGCTAATCTTCATAACAGAGAGGTGAAGATGCACGTCATTTCCGACGTTGTTGTTGTGTTGTTACGTGACGCGAAAGTTCAGCTCGCGTTATTTGACTCGAACGTGGAAAATCAACGCGAGTGCTAGTGACCTGCAGCTCACGTCGAAATTTGGAGTTTTACGCCAAATTTGACGTGAAATTGTGCGTCACGTCGGGAATAACGTGCATCTTAACCTCTCTAATAATACATTACGGAGCTTGCAAATGTACATGTACAAGGCAGACACACGTATTAATTGTGTGTGTGTGTGTGTGTTAGGGGGGAGGGTGTGCGTGTGTGTTTGGGGGAGGTGTGGGGTATCTACATGTACGTGACTGTACATTACCATTGCCAATTGGTGGCATCTGTACTCTTTGTCCCGAACTGACAATCATTATGAAAATATGTACACCGCCACGGAGCTGACCTGTATACCATGGTATACAGTGTAGCCGGTTATGGTATTGCTTGCCACTCTCAGTCTCTGGCAGTGGCTGGTCCAAGTTAGTTGTGCACAATGACTGTATTTGCCATTCCTATCAGTACATTGTACATGTACATGTAGCACCTTTTCTAGTGCGCTGGCGTCTTTTTGACATTTGACACAGGACTGTTGCGGAGTACCAGATCTGGAATTCTCTCTTTCATAAAAATTCAAATTCCGGCATCCCGGGTCATCACTGTGTAGCCATTGGTAGATAATGGCGGCGGAAAGATTGGCAAAATTTCGTACTTTTTCTGGTATGTTTCGTGCATGTCTGGTATGTGGATAAAGAAGTGAAGGGGGGGGGGAGCAGATTGCCATAAGGCTGGTATTGCTCCGCCACTGATTTCACTGCTTTTCGAGCAGAATCTGCCAATGTTTTGAGAATTTTCCACCAAGAGTTACTCCAGCGTGACCATAAGGAATTTGGCCGTTATAGGCAGGTGGATGTTCTTCATAAGTGGAGTGTATGACAATCATCGCCAGCGGATTGAAAACTGGAGTGTCTGAAGCAGGAACCAGACCCGAACGTGCGAACTTTACATTTTCTATTGTTGCAGATCAAGTATCAATTTCTATGTAATAAATGTATCACTTGACTTTCACTCGTTCACTCTATTTCTTCTCCACTCCGGACATGTACATGTATCTGTTATCAAAATTACACATTTTAATTTTACTTTGAAACCTCATTGACAGGCTCTGGCCTTTGGGGTGTCACGAGTAAAATACAAACGCAATGTTTAATAGTTTCATGTGCTGCTTACGTTCAGCTGTTACTGAACAACATGCACCCACGCTTCCAGGGGTAGGTACACTTGCCTTGATGGATTGCATTGTCGTTGTCCAATGAAGAAAAAGATCTCGAGGTACATTTAGAAGCGGAAAAGGGACTCGCAGTTTCACCACCTTGCAGAGCTTTTTATTAAAAAAGAAAGCTGCAATTTGGAAGGTTCAAGGTTATGAAAAGACCAAAAAGGGGAAGGCAAGCGCAACGAAAACGAGCAAAAGCTACAGTCCCAACGGAACAAAGAATGTCGATTGTTACTGGACGATGACGAGACCAGTACGATATTTGACAAAGCGGTCTAACTACAATTCTGTAGGAGTTTGGCTTTCGGCTTGTACAATTTGTTTTCGCAAAGCTTCCCCTTTCTTTACTTATCTTTGATATTTATGACCCACCCAAGTTGGGTGGTGTGCTGCTTTGCTGCTTCGAATTGTAGTTAGACCGCTTTGTCAAATATCGTACTGGTCTCGTCATCGCCCAGTAACAATCGACATTCTTTGTTCCGTTGGGACTTTAGCTTTTGCTCGTTTTCGTTGCGCTTGCCTTCCCCTCTTTGGTCTTTTCATAACCTTGAACCTTCCAAGTTGGAAAGCTGCAATTATATTTAATTAAGTGCAGTCAGAACGATGTGTAGTGTACGAATTGAGTGAACTGTGTGAGGCGTGGAAGAAGACCAAATAAACAGCGTCATGAATAACATTACTGAGAAGTAGCGGAGAAATATCAGTGAGCGGACATATCCTTCAGATTGCCACGGGTCAATATGACCAGACAGCGGCACCACTCACAAGTGGAGGAGAAGAGGAAGAAGAGGAGGATGAGGGAGGCAGGAAGAGGGTGGGAGGGAGAGAAGGAGGAGGAGGACAAGGTGGTAAAACAGCTCAGGAAGCACATCGAACGGGAGTAGACACAATCAAGGAATTATGTAGAGGATCTGAATGTTTCTACAACCTGTCATATCAAGTGTTGCATTGTCGAACACTGGCCGATGTGCGTTATGCCTACATGCTCCCACCTGAAAATATGGATCAGAGAAACACAGATACAAGAAAAGGGAACTATTTTGCTTTGAACACACCAGCACTGCACATACACACACTCAAGGGCTTTATCCTCCTTTGCCCACAAGAAACGTTAGCTCCATAATGCTACATAAAATTAATTAAATGCACGCAGAATATTTGGAAACCTCCTCGATAGGCCTTTGGGGTATAATAAATAGATTCAAATACAAATATTCTTTATCGTCGGCCTCGAACGGCTTCTTATTGTTTTTATATATGTACTTCAAGTAGGTAACTCTACTCTGAGTCAGCTACAGTATACTGCAATCACCTCAGACCATCGTTCCTCGTTTATGCCTTCTACATTGTTACTGCTCTTGTCTGTTCTTCTAGGATTTCATTATTACTCCTTTTTAAAAGGTCTTTCCAGTGGTTAGTACAACGTTATAACGCATTGTCTTGCCCTTTTCACATTTTGATCTATTCTGCGGTGTGTGCTCCAGCAACATACAGTAAGACGTGTGACTAACGACCACCCCTGGGGGGCAGAGAAAACGGTGTTTAGTGGCAGGTGGTCCTTAGTTAGAGGTTTGCACCGCGCAACCATAATAATTATTATGAGTGCGAGACCGTGCGTGCCTGGCGAAGCGGTTTGTTGTACCAGGCTGGTCGCTAGTCACGGTGGCCTTTTGTTACAGGTTTTATTGTGCTTTGCAGGTGTAGTACTCTGCTCTGTACTCACCGCTGCACGACTCCTGCTGGCTTCTCCAGACGTCCACCACCTCGCGCCAGTCCTGCACGCTATCCGCGTACACTTGCTGTGCGTCGCGGAAGCTCTGCACCAGCTCGGCGTACTGATTCTGGATCTCGTAGCACGTCCCAGTCAGGCACTCCCCGATGGTGGGTGGCGCGGTCGGGGGTGGTGTGCTGGCGAATATGGTGGATGGGGGCGGAGGCGGCGTCGTGAACGGAGGTGGGGGCAGCGTTGTCTCATTTTCTATAACAAAGACCGCACATAAAGTCACAGGTTAACTGGAACTCGTATGCATTTCATCAAGAGAAAGAATGCTAGATGTACGTGCACTAAATGCATCATTCCAGTTTTACTACTTTTGAAGACACAAGAAAACATTCTAGGGCTCAACCTTCATTGCCAGATGTATTAAATTAATTTTTGTGACATGAGCATGCACATTATTGTTATGATGCTATTTAAACTAGCAGAAGCCACCAACAACACCAATTTGCAGTATGAAGTCCCAGAAGATAATACGAGAAGTCAACTGAAGAGACGTCCGGATGTGGAATCGCATGCGCCATTACTGGAGGTGACAACGACTGAGAATGCCAGGAAACGTGGCAGACCGCGGAAGCCAAGTAAGCTAACCCCAGAGGCAACGCCTATGGGAACAGTCACTCAGAGAAGTAAGGGCATTACGCATATTGGAGGTGAGAACAACGGATGCGTCCAAGTCAGGAAAGCGTATGTCGGCAATCAAGCATCACTTGTCAGTCAGTGCTAGTTCTCATCAGTGGTAGTATTAACGGGAACACAACAGCCAATTGTGTGAAGTACAGTACACGACTGTGGAGCATCGTACCGGTACAGTAGTTTGGCTAGACAACTGTTGCACAGCAAGTGCATTCCGGGATGACGTCATCTGAGCCCCAGGCGCAACCCCCCCCCCCCTTGGAAACACTCCCGGGTGCCAGTTAGGGTCTTGAACCTGGACCTCATGATTCCCAGGCAATGTTATACTCTGGACCTCATGATTCGCAGGCAATCCTGAACCCTGGACCACATGATCCGTAGGCAGTGGTATAAGCCCACAACCAACAACCACTCGGTCAAAGCCCTGGTCTGCGTAGTGTAGTGCATGCAGGTAGATCTACAGAGATAACCGAGTTATACTGCTAATGCTCTGCTACCAATATAGTCACCCAGTACCCAGATGCATGGTACACATACAATCGCCAACCATACCCGCATCGGTGTCATTGAAATCAGGAGAAACAGTCACTGGGAACGGTGTCATCGTAAACGTGAGGGGTGTTGCGGTGGTGTCCACTAATCGATCAGAAATGGAACAGAAATGCAACACACAAACGCTTTGATCACTGAAGTGCATCCTTCTTCTATGCTTCACATTCATGTACCTTCCAACCAGGAGGGGTGACAACCACTTAAAGTAGAGTCCACTTATAACGAACTCACCTATAGCGAGCTGTTGTACATGTCCCAGTTTGAAACTATAGTTTAAGTGCATGTCTGTTAACATTATAACAAACTTTGGATATAAAGAACTAATTCTCCTGCACATTGGCGTTCGTTATATCAGGAGTCGACTGTATTATAGTGCCCTCCAGGTCCAACCAACTCTAGGGATACAAGCTTACAGGAATGTTCCGTTTCCAGCATGACAAACACTTCGTGAATACCAGCAGGGACCAGGGTGCAGGGATTGCTGAGTGGAAGGTTTGATGAACTTCTTGTATGCTCTAGGTGGCTGTCGGGAGTCAGTCAAGTGAGAATTCCAATGGGCAGAAAGGCACAAGCTCCGGTGTGGGGGACCAACCAAAGTTCCTCTAAAACAATTCTGTGAGCCTGAAGAAAATCATGACTTTCAGTTTTGCCCCCCCCCCCCCCCTCACCCCCACACCCCTCCAGATTTACACTCTTCTCCCTTTCTGAATATCTTACCTAAACAGAAGGGGTTGTCAAAAGTGGAGCACGCGAAACCTGGTCAGCAACACGAAAGAAGGAAAAAGAGGGCAGAATGAGAGCCTAAACAATGCAGATGCGAGGAGACTGACAGCAGGCGGCAATGTGTTGTACAATCCACGGCCATATTCGGTAGCAACTCAGGGACTTGACCACTGTCGTATCCGCCTATCCTTTCTGACAATAAAGTGATCTGGTGCTTTATAAATCATTATTGGCATTATATATCAAACCTGGATCCAAATACTCTTCTGCAGTACTGCTAGGATCAATTCTAGTGTGAAAAATCGAGCATGCCCAGAATTCTTCATTACAATGCAAAATATAGCAGCACCAATAAGTACAGGAAGTACAACAATGAAGGCAGTGGTGACAACAATGAAGGCAGTGGTGACAACAATGGCAACACAAACAACAGCAGGAACAGAAACAGACACCGCGGCTGGCGGCACCATCACCACCACCAGCACCACCATCACCACAACCAACAACAACAACAACAACAACAACAACAACAACAACAACAACAACAACAACAACAACAACAACAACAACAACAACAACAACAACAACAACAACAACAACAACAACAACAACAACAACAACAACAACATCAACAACATCAACAACAACATCAACAACAACAACAACAACAACAACAACAACAACAACAACAACAACAACAACAACAACAACAACAACAACAACAACAACAACAACAACAACAACAACAACAACAACAACAACAACAACAACAAAGGGACACGGCGATGACAATGATTAGGGCAACAACTGCAGTGGTGACCATGACGATACCATGACAACAACATTCAACACATGAAAGGACTTTCGATAAAATCTACAATTATTAATTATTTTGATTGTGCTCTAGCAGTCAGGACAAAAAGAACGAACGAGAATGCTCTCGTCCTCCCAATCAGTCCAGCAGGTCGATCTCTGCTGTATTCCCAACGTTCCTTTCCCACTCACCAAAATTCACATGCAGCTTGATGTTGCCATAATGCTAGTTTACGATCTTTCCTCTGTCTCCACGGCAGGTTGGTTCTACATGGCACTCACCAGGGTGCGAGAGATTGGTGCTTCTCTCTGGTGTTGCTCCTGGAGAAAAGGAGCAAGAAGGATCTCCCAGCTCCTCGCCGTTAGTGTACCCGTCACCATCGCTGTCCTGCGGGCACACTGTCGTCCAATTCCCACCGCTCGCAATGAATGCCCGGCCAAATACGTTGCCTACCAAAAAAGAAGAAAAGAACCACAAAGAACCACGTTCCTCATCAGATTCTCGCGGCTTTACATGAAATAGAGTTGGAATGTAGCCAAACATTGAGCATGCATGTACAAGAAAAACTAGTTGGGATGATGACTACACCATGTCTTAAGCCTGATTCATACTTCATCTCGCGTACGGGAAACCCATCGCGCGACCGTCGCGCGATGGGTTTCCCGTACGCGAAATAGTTGAGCTCAGATCAACTTTTTCGCGACGCGACGAGTTTCCCGTACGCGACATGAAGTATGAATCGGGCTTTAGTGGTAGAGCATTGGTGGCCATAAGCAAGCATCTCTGGTTAGAGTCCTGGTACATGGTGGTGACAGTCAATTAATTATTTTCCTTCAGATTTTTTTCCGTTTTCATCTCTTTCAAACTTATGAATACTTGATTTAGTGGTCATTTTCACTTCAAGTTCTTTTCTAGACTCTGTAGAGGCTATGCGAATGAATTCAATGGTGAATCAGCGGATTTTCTAATGGGCGCTAAGCATACCACGGGCGTCAGCGGTTTTCCTGTTGGGTGCTATGTATGCAGTGCGAGTCGCTAGTACAAGTGCATTGCTGTGCCGCGAGTCCGCGACTTTGCCAAAGCAATTGAAAGCATCTCAACTGATGACGTGATCGCATAACCTCAATAGCCCTGGTCTACTGATCTGGCCATTTTGTACAAGTTTTTGAAGTGGAACTTTTTTGCGTTGGACCTTGTTCTCAAACGGCTGACAGGGATAATGTGTTGGCTGTTGTCACAGTGCATTTTGGTTTGACAAAATAAATGATGTGTTTTGCAGTGATGTCATAACGTGTATCCTGTCACTTCCCCGACTGATCCTTTGAATTATTAATATTATTATTATTTGAAACTCGGATACTATAATACAGTCAGAAAGTGCAATAACTAGGCACAAAAAAAACAAACATAATAATAAAAATGTGGAAGAGAAAAGGACATATGGATACGAGTTAAGAGTAACTCTCCATCACTGTAACATGATACTATATACAGTCAGAAAGTGCAATAACTAGGCACAAAACTGACAGAGTACTGAAACATTCGACGTCCTGACACCTAGCTTCAACACATCTCCGTAGCGCTAACCGACAGCCTTCCAACTTGGAAGGTTCAAGGTTATGGAAAAGACCAAAAAGGGGAAGGCAAGCGCAACGAAAACGAGCAAAAGCTACAGTCCCAACGGAACAAAGAATGTCGATTGTTACTGGACGATGACGAGACCCGTACGATATTTGACAAAGCGGTCTAACTACAATTCGAAGCAGCAAAGCAGCACACCACCCAACTTGGGTGGGTCATAAATATCAAAGATAAGTAAAGAAAGGGAACTAGTCCATCACAATGTCATGCATGAGGAGTACTGTAGGAGTTTGGCTTTCGGCTTGTACAATTCGTTTTCGCAAAGCTTCCCTTTCTTTACTTATCTTTGATATTTATGACCCACCCAAGTTGGGTGGTGTGCTGCTTTGCTGCTTCGAATTGTAGTTAGACCGCTTTGTCAAATATCGTACGGGTCTCGTCATCGTCCAGTAACAATCGACATTCTTTGTTCCGTTGGGACTGTAGCTTTTGCTCGTTTTCGTTGCGCTTGCCTTCCCCTTTTTGGTCTTTTCCATAACCTTGAACCTTCCAAGTTGGAAGGCTGTCGGTTAGCGCTACGGAGATGTGTTGAAGCTAGGTGTCAGGACGTCGAATGTTTCAGTACTCTGTCAGTTTTGTGCCTAGTTATTGCACTTTCTGACTGTATATAGTATCATGTTACAGTGATGGAGAGTTACTCTTAACTCGTATCCATATGTCCTTTTCTCTTCCACATTTATTTATGGCTCAACATCCGAGTTTCAAATAATAAAAATATTATTATTATCGGCTTTTTCGCCAAGCAAGTTTGTCTAGCCTTCGCACAAGACAAATGGAATGAAGAAAGATTAAGGAGGAACGAGCGGCGTCAGTGAGGCTCCCGCAAAAGTAACTGTTGAATGATATGTTGATCATGTCCGTGCGCCACTCCACCATCTATGAAGAAGTTAGTTACTCGCTCAAGAAACTCAGGTACATTGTACATCGTGATGGTTGCACATGTACACAAGTGTGGTATGTTCTTGGCTTGGCTTGTGCAGGCTGTTATACATGTACATACATGTATAACAGCCTGCACAAGCCAAGCCAAGAACATACCACACTTGCACTCTATACCGTGAGATGGCGGCACGAAAACCTGTACCTATACTACTGATAGTACTGTTTGAAAAGTACTGAAGTCATGTCCAATATAATTATATACTTTAGTCTTATCGAAATGAAAATTCTGTATTCTGCCAGAGAAATTTGACCTCCTGAGGAATTATAGCAGCGCTGCGCTCGTCGCTCAATCGAGTGCACAGCACAGCGTTGTTGTTTTTCGAGGTGCAATTTTTCATGAGGTTGAATTTCTTTGACCAGAAGTGCCATTCATTTTTATTTATTTATTTTTTAAGTAGGTGCTGCGAGTGCAACTCACCAGCTCCAGACGGAGGTCCATTACACTGGGCCACGTGACCGATGGATTGGCACATGCTGCGTCCACAGATAACAGAGAGACAGCGGCGGCACACAGCAGTCAACAGATCAGGATACAAGAAACGAACTAACTACTAAAATGTTACTTTCACTGTGACTGGTCTTTGGACACGCAAGCAGCCTAGGCTGCGACAGTTTGACTTCTACTCACGGCGTAACGGTCCATGTAGGTCTCCAGGGCCGAGCACTGGGACCAATATCACTGAGGAAGCCCTTGGCTGTTGTTCTAATCCCAAAAATTACAGAAACGTTTTCATTGCAATGGTGAAAGTGACCGTAAAAACATGTTTCCAGGCAGCACACTAGTCTACTAGACTAAGAATAGACTCCGTGACTGAAATTATGCCGCAAAAAATAGAAATTACCCAGGCCGGCCGATGCTTTACAGATTGCGCTAGCGGTAACCATAGTTACAAGGTGCACGTTGCGCAGTGGTTTTGCGGCCCTTGTCAAGACATAATAATACTTTTTAAAATTCAGTCAGGCCGACAAGAATATCCTACATGCAAGTGCATGTACGTGCTACTACTGTACTACTTGTAGTTTCAGCAGTGCGCAAGTGACGTTTGTCTTTTCCACCTCCAAAATGGTATACAATGTAGTACAAAAACGGAGCCAAACCTAGTCCAGTAACGATTACTTGCACGTGGTTAACAATGAGTGATTTTAACGCCTACATTTCGACATGTGTGGAAGAATAATGGGAAGCGAAGACAGCAGGTCAAAAAAAGTTATGTTGAAACGCCACACCTACATTGTACATGATTATAACTATTCGAACACAATAGGCCTTGGCGGATAATGCTCGAAAAGGTGGCAGATTCTGCTTTTTTTGCACCGAAATTGGCAGAACCATACAAACCTTATGGCGGGCAATTCCTCGAATTCTGCTCCATTTCTTTATCCACATACCAAACATGCATGAAACTTACCAGAAAAAGTACCGAATTCTGCCAATTTTTCTGCCGGCATTATCCGCCAAGGCCTAGAACACAATAGCGCGAGTTCCCAGATTACCTAGACTAGGCTAGAGTGCTCAACACCACAAGGATGGAGCATTACCACAAAGGCAGAAGAGAACAGAGACAGCCGACTAGGTCATTGTTGTAACGCTGCGTTTCATGCACATAGCAAAGCTAAGGCAATCCTCAGACAACTGACTCTCTGTCTCTGTTCTTCTCTTCTGCCTTTGTTGGAACTATTAGTACAAAGTCATGTACGTGTGCAGCGATTAGGTGATAACTACTGCCCTGGCAGCTTCAGTAGCCTTTCGTGGTCGAGAGAATAATCAGTGTAGATAATTATGCAAATCGGAACTCAAGCTATTTCAAACGGTGAGAACTCAAGCTGTAAAATTAATAATACTTCGTAATATTATTATTATTATCATGTCCGTTTGAACTCACAACCTCGGCTAACACCCGGTAAACCCTAGCGGCAAGCCGTCTAGTACTAGTGGATTGCTATCAGACTGGCTGAGTGACCAGAGCAGAATGCGTCAAAGAGAAACGCACAACAAGCGCATGTACATACAATTGTGCGCGGCGCTGCGCGAGAGACGGGTGCGTAGCCCCACGCGTAGGACCTTGCAAGGAATTCGTAGCTCAGGCGAGTCAGGGATTCTAGACTCGCCACATGTACACATTCCAGGACAGAGCCAGTGACGTGATCACGGTCTGCACTATTCCGAAAAGTGCAAACCTCCGGAATTACATGCACGCCATGAGGGTAATACCTATCCTGAGTTCTGATCCGTAGGTCTACAACAACCCATGGCTGAACTGAAGTGTAAAGATATGCGAAAAAAAAAAAAAAAAAAAAAAAATTAGAGTAAAGATATGCGAGGTCAACGTGGTTTCATTTTCACCAGTTTTGCTGCTGGTATGAATCGATGTAGCGAATATTTCTAGATGCAGGGGCCGAGAATAGGAAAGTTTTCTTTTCTGTTTAGCTGCCAAGAAACACAAGAACACCAATGATTATGTGAACGGGGGTCAGCGCTAGATCATAGAACGGTCGCCTGCAGTCAGCCATGTCAGCCATACACGCCAGGCATGGGTGGTAGTCATGTGGACCTGCAATGTCCGATCTACCCAGTAACGTTAGTAGGCACACAGTTATATTGATAATATTATTTACTTACACGCCATCGACACCAAACGGAGCGGGAACGTTGCTTTGACCGTCAGAGGCTGCCGCTCCGAGATTCGGTATCAGTGGGATGAAGGCCGGGAATGCGAGACTGGAAGGCACGATTGCCAGCAAAATCAGAAGAGGAGCCATCCTAGGTGTCCTCAGTTGTCGCGCTTCACCTCTGCCCACGTGGGTGGATGGTAGCATGCAGCGAGAGACAATGGTCTCCTCCCTTCCTCCGCATGCAACCCGCTATCGACTGCACCTGTGACCTGATACGTTTCAGTGGCGCTGCGGAGAAGGACTGGATTCCTAGATGTTCTCCTTCGTCGATACTACCACTGTTGAAGCGAATGTGCTTGATGCATTGACTGCGTTATCTAGCAGGTTGACGACTCGACTGTGTGTTGGCCATGCAGGGTCAGGGCAATGCCTAAGTAATGGCAATGGCATGCTCGCTCGTAAGTATGTGAAGAGACACTTTCGCTCCATCAGACCATCAGGATGCGTGCTAGACTTTGTATCGGATGCTGGTGAACTGCCAGTCAACACTGGCATTCAAGGTACATGATGTGGATGCATGCCTGCGTACGAACTAACATAATCCATTGGTGATATGACTATGAGTGAGAGAGCACAGTATACCAGTAACTGTAAACATACGTGTCATTACCAGTGAGCTGTGAGCTGCGAGCTGCGAGCTGTGA